ATGCCAAATATGAGCTTGCTGGTTTATGTAAACCATCTTGGAATTTTCTCCATTTAACCGGAGAATTAAAATGCATTGGGTCAGCCTTGCATGAAAACTAATTTGTTTTAGTCCATGATCATGATAAGAACTGACTGAGGAGGATCAAAAAACTCTTTAGAAACTGGATTAAAGGCCTCCCTGAATGATGGGCACTCAGACCAGCCACGAGCCCCAGATGCAACAGCCACCTTTGTTAAAACACATTCTAGGAGCTTGGGCTGCTCTCCAAAAATAAAAAAAATGCAAGTTAAACCTGGCTGTTTGATCAAGATGACAGCTGCTGGTTGTGATGGGGACCTCTGGAGCTGGAGGCATGAGCCACAGCTCCTCCAGTTTAGGGGGATAAAGGGCAAGGTGAGAGAACTCCGTGGTTCTACGAGACCTTAGCTGAGAAAAACTTCACAAAGTGGGAAGGGGTTGGGTGTGTGACCTTCAGAGGATTCAGTGCCTTTGAAAAGCAAAACCCTTTATAGAGCAGTTGCAGCAGCCTCATTATTTGTGGATTAAGGACAGATGGCAACTCAAGCCGCATCGATCAGCAGGAGCAGCAGTTTGCTGAGAGCTCATGGAATGGGACCCCAGGGGTAGCAGGGACTGCCTGCAAAGGGTCCCATTAACTTCAGAGCCAGTCTGCACTGCATTTCCTGTGGTGTCCTCGCTTCCCAGCACCAAAAAAACACCCAGCCTTGTGCTGGCAATGGAAGAAGGGGCAGAGCGAGGGATTGTGTGGTGGGCAGGTGGGGATGAATGTTTTCTAGAGGATGGGGAGTCACTGGGGCTGTGTCAGCTCGACAAGCAGAGGCTGAGTGATGGGGAGCTGTGCAGCCTCTGCAGGGACCACATCACACTTTCATCCCTCCTGCAGCTTCTGCACTGGGCTAAAAGCATCTGTGGGATGCCACAGCCATTGGAGATCATTCTTTTCATAGAATCATGGAATCATTAATATTGGAAAAGGTCACCAAGCCTGACCACCAGTGTAGCACCCCCACTATGTTTGCCACCACCGTGTCCTCCAGTGCCACATCCACACCTTGTCTGAAGACTCACAGGGATGGTGACCCCACCTCTTCCCTGGGCAGCCTGTTCCAGTGCTTTAATAACCCTTTCTGTGAAGAAATTTTTCCAGATAAATCATCTAAAACTCCTCCTGGCACATCTTGAGATCATCCTGTCACTTGTTACTCGGGAGAAGAGACTGACACTCACCTCGCTACAAGCTCCTGTCAGGGAGTTGTAGGGAGAGATGAAATCTCCCTTCAGCCTTTTTCTCCAGGCTGAGCCCCCCCAGCCCCCTCAGCCACTTGTTTCCAGAAACCAGATGCAGCAGTGGGCACAAGAACCCTGTGTTTTCCCTCATGGCACAGCATTTTCCCCACTGAAAGGTGGCATAGGAATAACTTCATATAATAGACCCTTTATCACTTGTTTACAGCTCCACTAAAAAAGACAAATCACTTGAAGCAGTGAAGGACTAGACCTGGGAAAAGAAGGGGGTTTTCAAAAGGTTTATCTGACAGACAGTAAACAAGACAAATAACATGCAGCATTTAATTTGTCAGGACCATGGTACAACCTGATGATAAAAAAAGACTGCTCCATAAAGTGGGGAGTACCTTTGTCTTGGCTGTAAATGCCTGGGTTGATTTACTAAGTGCCCTGGTACTTCTCTGGCTCCTCTGTGTTGCTCACAAATGGGATGGAATCTGAGGAGTAAGAAGAGGAAGGAAGTTATCTGTGCTCAACCTCATAAACTGATCTCATTCCAATTAAGGATTTGAGATCATGACAGTTTTTATCTTATTTTGCCTGGTTCTCCCATTGCTGGGGATAATCAGAGTAAGAATTACCCCCTCTGCCCCTCTCAGGTGAGACCCCACCTGCAGAGCTGCCTCCAGCTCTGGGTTCCCCTGCACAGGAAGGACCTGGAGCTGTTGGAGCAAGTACAGAGGAGGCACCAAGGGGATCAGAGGGATGAAGCAGCTCTGCTGTGAGGGAAGGCTGGGAGAGCAGGGATTGTTCAACCTGGAGAAGCTTTAGGGTTATCTAATTGTGGCTTTCCAGTACCTGGAGGGAGCCAGCAAGAAATAACGGAGAGAGAATATTTACAAAGGCCTGGAGTTACAGGACAAGGGGGAATGGCTTCAAACTGAAAGAAAGAAGGTTTGGCTTGGATATCAGGAAGAAATTCTTCCTTGTGAGGGTGGTGAGGCTCTGGCAAAGGTTTTCCAGAGAAGCTGTGGCTGCCCCATCCCTGGAAGTATCCAGGGCCAGGTTGGAGGGGGCTTGGAGCACCCTGGGATAGTGGAAGGTGTCCCATGGCAGGGCAGTGGAAACAAGATTATCTCTTCTTGAGGTCCCTTCCAGCTCAAGCCATTCCATGATTCTATGATTTAAGAAATCAAACACTGGCACCTTCGTTATCCCTCCTTCTTCCCTGTAGTGAGACCAGGCAGCATTAATCTTTCTGTGTATTTTAGGGGATCAGTCCCCAAAATGTAGAACTGTTTGAATAATCCATCATCAAACTGGGGACACCAGAACAACCAGTGAGTCCAGGCCCATATTTTTCTTCCAAACACAATATAAAATAACTTCTAAGGACACTGGAGCAATCATGCATTTTTTCTCAACAAAAAGCATCCCAAATAAATCGCAATCCAAGCCAAGGCTTGCATGAAGCTGCTTTCGCCCTTCCCCAGCCTCACTCCTAATCTGCAAGGGAGTGAGATGAAAGAAGGACATCCTGAGAAGGGCAAGCCAGGAGCTGATTAACTCCTAAATGGGTTTGGTTACAGATATCCTATTGATCAGCTCGAGCCTGGCATCGGGATACCTCCCATTACACCGAAGGTTTCTCTTACAAAGGAAACACAATCTGTCTCCCATGAGGAGATGGAAGACAAGCTGTTTAGGAAAGTGACCAGCACAGAAAGTGACTTTTGAGGGAAAGACAGTCTTCTTCAAGGTCAAGTATTTGCTTTGTGCCAGTAACAGCTCCATCCTCCATGCTGATGCCAGGATCTCTGGGCACTTTGCTGGCAAGTTCACTGCCCTCCATTTCCTTCCTGCTCCATTTTTCCATGTTATTCTCATGATTAAGTATCTGAGTAGCTTCCATGGCCATCAGCAGTGGGAATGTTGCTGAGCCTGTGTTTATTTTCACTCTGTCTTGGAGGGAAAAGTTAAACCACAACCAGGCTGGAGGTAGCAGAGTATGAACTCGTGCGTTTTTGCTGTGGAGCTGGATGAGTATTTGCCCATCCCTGTTCAGGAGGGTGCTGATAATGTCCCCAAATTCTGATCTGGCACCTAGTTTGGCTTGTTTTTCCAGGCAGGGCTGGTGTCCTGTCTAGGGTGTGTAGGGACCAGCAGAGCAGTTCAGGGAGACTGAGTCAGCTGAAGTGGATCATCTGCATCTCTGAATTCTCTGGCTGTTGGCAAGGGAAAAAAAAAAGGGGGGGATATTTCATTTTTATTTTAAAAACAAGAATTTTCCCAGTGTTTCCTGTCTTAAAAAAAACACTGCATCTTTAGCTCGTTATCCTTATCTGCCTGAGCACAGCACAGAGCTGAATCCCCTGGACCTGAAACATCTCCAAGGGTAGCTGTGGGTAATGAGAGAATTCACAGCAGGAAAAGCAGCCATGTGAAAGTGGCCACCTCTGGGCTGAAGGGCCACCTCTGCTCCTCCCCATGAGGTGGACAAATGATGGAGCAGAACAGTGAAGCTGAGGCTTATTCCAGCAGATTTTAGATTGCTGCGTGTGGCCGATGAGGAGCGAACTGACCACTGAGGGATGTGACAGCTTATCCATCACCTGAAAGGATTGGATAATCCCCTGCTGTCTTTTACAACCCAAAACTCAACCTTGCTGTGCTCCCTGCAGGTGTTTGGTCTGTGGGATGCCAGCCAGATTCAGATGGTTTTCACAGTCCATCCTGCCACCAGCATTTATGGATGTTCCACCTGGGCCGGTTGCTTTTGGCAGGAAGCAGTAGAGACACCAGTGGAGAAGGCTGCAGAGGTTCAGAATTCCCTTTAAGTAGCAGGATCATCCCTGCAGCCAGGTGGTTTGGTGGATCCATCCTTTTTCAGAGCTGTAGATTGTGGTACACTGGGGAAAGCTGAGTGTTGCTGACACCAGCACTGAGCGTGGCTGGGGAGAGGAGCCAAAAATGCACTTTCATCTTACGGTGCTCACAGGTTACTCCCCATGGGCTCTGCAAAGAGTGCTGGAGGAGAATGTCATTCCCATGTTATTCCCCCACCAAAGCTGTCCCTGACAGCGGTGCCTCTCTGTGCCTGGTGGGGTCTGCAGTGTGGGGAAAGGAAAAGTCTTTTTTTTTTTTTTTTTTTTAAATATGAGTGGTAGAGCCCTTATCCCTTCTCACCTTCCTTGTCTTCACATTGTGTGTTTGTGTGGTGGCACAAGGAGGAAACACAACCTCACTGATGGTGGATTTGTACCTTGAAGTGGTTTTTGCTCGTGTCTTCTGAGGTTAGAAGCCAACAGGACACAAAATGGGCAGAGTCTTGTCAGAGGGGAGCTCTTTGCTGCAGTAAGCACAGGAAGAGCAGGGCTAGTTGGAATCATAGAATATCCTGAGGTGGAAGGGACCCCCAAGGATCACTGAAGTCCAACTCTTGGCTCTGCACAGGACAGCCCCAAGAACCCAGTCAAGTGCCTGAAGGTGTTGTCCAAACACTTCTTATACTCTATAAAAAGGAATAACTGAAGAGAAGTCAATGTAAAGTCAGGCAATGCTTCTCCCTTCCCCGTCTTGACTTTCTGGGCTACCCTGCAGTGTCCAGCCCCACCACTTTTTTAAAGACACCCCAGTTTTGAGTCTTGGCAGCTGGTACATGGCAGGGTCCTCTGGGCCGGTGCTGCCTTGGCTCCCCTGGGCGCTGGGCTCTCTCTGGGGCTGACGGGGCTTTTCTGGATCTTGCCCAGGTGGTTGGAACTCCTGGTCGGCTTGGGGCGACTGCACCAAGGACTGCGGGGGCGGCCTGCAGACCCGCATGCGCTCCTGCAAGCCCCTTCCCAACGAGGGCCTGGCCTGCGAGGGAGTCCTGGAGGAAGGACGGCTGTGCAATAGGAAGGCTTGCAATAGTAAGTGGAGGCATGTTCCCTTGCACGCGCGGGGCCGGGGCGCCCTTCCCGGGAGGAGGAGGTTGGCCTCATCCCCATCAAGGATGGAGGGTGCTCCAGAGGCTCAGGGAAGCTGAGCTGGAGCAGTGAGCCCAGGGGGAAGTGTGGAGCCGGCTGTGCATGGCGCTGCCCGTCCCTGCCTGTCTCGCATGCACGTGCTGGCACGGTCCTCCACCACCCTCCAGACCTTCAGCCCAAAGAATTCATAGGAATCCATAAGCAGGCTTGCATCAGGTTTTCATAGGTTGGTGGTAAATCTGCCGTGTCCTGAAGGGCTTTTTATTTTTTTCAGTTCTCCTAAATAATTAAAGCTAAGAGAGATGTTAATCTTGCTTCTTCTTGGTTTGGTTCAAGAGCAGTGACCCTGCCCCTTTCTTTTACAAATGGAAGCCCCCGGTGACAAGATGTAGAGAAAGATCTGGCTGTTATGGATTGAGTGATGCAAAGGCTTCGGTGTGTGCTCCACTCTCCCCCTGTAATGCATCCTCTTTCCAGGTCCTCTTCTCCAGAGAACAGGGCACAGCGTGCCCACACCAGTCAGAGACTGATGGGTTGAACTCCAGCACTTTCATCCCCAGTTCTTCTATTGCTTTAAGCTGTGTTGAGAGTGGGATAGAGGAAAAGCCAACTGCAGACACAGCTCGGCTCAACAAATGCAAGCAAATCACTGGTTATAATTATTCCCTTCTTTTTATTTCAAATTCAGAGTAGAGAATGTTTGAATAACTCCTCTGACTAGTCAAATAACTAAGGAAAGTTCAACCATCTTCAAAGGCTGCGAAGTATCTCCTGATAAGGGGGAAGTTCAAATAAAGGGACATAAATATATTACTCTAATAAGGGCTAAAATAATTTCATGCATTTTTTAACATTTCCATAAATTTAAAATATGTTGCAATTAGGCTTAGACTTTTTTTTTTTTTTTTCAAAGGAAACCTGGTATCTTGAATTCCGTCTCCTTGACTCACAATTGCTAAATTCCCTCTGAAGTTTGCCCACACCAGGGATATTTAATCCGTGTGTCCCATGCTTGGTGGTGACTTTGTATTCATGACTCAGCTGTGGCTTGTAGGGAGAATAGGAGTGCAAAGACCTGGAAGCTGGTCCTGAAAAAAGTCCAGCTGTGGGATTGGGGTGTGCCTGAGTGGGGTTGGAGGAAGGGCCACACCAGTCTTGGTGAACAATGTGTGAAAAAAGAAGAAGGGATGGCACTGGGAGTGGGACAGGGGGATCTGCAGGGCTGTCACTCTTTGAACATGGCAACACATGGGATAACAGGCAAAAAAGCTCCTTAATGTGTCCCTCCTATGCTGGGTGAACTAGGGGGGAACCCAGTTCAGCAGATTCTCTTTGCAAGACATCCTTCCTCATCCCTAACCATCTTCCAAGCTGTCCATGGGACCTGTTTGATTCTTCTGGCAGCCCTCTTGAAGTGGTGAGAGGGGGAAGACCCTGTTTTCCAGGGGGAAGACCCTGTTTTCCAGGGCCAGCCTCATCAGCACTGAGTAGGGGGTGTAACATCTTCCCTTGATCTTCCCTAGGGGCAAAACTTTGGTTCTTTTTCATGACAGATCTTGGTTCTTCTTCATGATAGATCCCCTGAGGTTGTGGGGCAAGGAGGGATGGAGAACTGTGGGGACTGGGTTGGATTTCCATGGCGTGGAGTGCAGCAATGAAGAATTAATTGGTTTTTACTCATTCTTTACTTCGCTTTTTCGCAGAACACAACACTCAGCAAAGCCAATCCTAAGTGCAAAAAACCTGAAGGGGCTATGATTCAATAAATCATTTCACTTGTCTTGCTGTCCTTCTTCCATTGCATTCCCAGTCAATTCCTCCTCCAAATAGCAATGAGATTAGTTCAGCTCAGATTATTTGGGAAGAAGGAATTTTAAGCTAAGTGGAAAGTCCTAGTTTGGAAGGAGAATACACGCACAGAGACAGGCAGCACAAACTGATTTATTCCATTGAAATAAATAAATTAATTCTGATTAATTGTCCCAAGACCCTCTTTGCAGACAAACTGCTGAGCCCCATTTTGATGTGTATGTGCTGGAAAGGATTTGAGGGGGTGTGTGAGCAATAAATCTTTCCAGGAGACTTCTCTGTGCATGTCTTGAGGTCTGTGTCCTACTTCAAGATAAATCTGTGTCTCTTCATATCAAAACTGTTCACTTGGCTCTGAACTTGCTTCTCAGTGAATCTGTCCCCTGTTGCCTTTGCCCAAGGAGATGCACTTTTGACCCAAGAATGGTTTCTAATTTTCTTGCACATATCTTTTCCTTCTCTTTACTTTGATCTGCACCAAAACCTAAGAGGATTTAAAACTAGAATAAAAATCCTGTTTTAAATGTGTCACTGTTATTTTCATATTGACTTTTGCTCATAGATTTGTTCGGGATGAGTAGAATGTTCGTTCTTTCCCTGGAACTGTTATTATTCTAAGTGTTCATTGTAAGCTGCAGTTAAATATGTTCTAATGATTTCTTTTTTTAATTAAAAGAAAAAAATGAGGGAAAATGGGGGAAAAAAAACAAAACAAAGAGGAGCTGGCCAGGAAAACAATTTTGTCTTGAATTGTTCAGCTTTTAAGCAGATTGTAATAATACTTGACCACCTCTCCAAGTATTGTGGAATAGCTGAGATCTTAATTTTCTAGTAGGAAAAAAAAAAAGCAGGAAAAAACATTTTCTTTGAATAAAGGACCATCTGTAATCCTGATAAAACACCAGAACAAAACGGGGATGAGTGCTCTGATCTTTTCCTCTTTGCTGTGGAGGTAAATTGAAACTTGTCCACTTAGGAAATGCTGGCCAAGCAAGTCAGGTTAGAAAAACACAGACATTCCCACCACCTTCAAAACCCATCTCTTGTCTTTAACTTCTCCTTCTCACTTCTGCCGAAGCGGCTCAGAAGCTGATGGGTTTTAAAACTCAGAAGCAGGAGTGTTTCAGGTGTTTAATTGGATCTCCAGCCTCTGGGGTAACTTCTCAGAGTGCTGATGCTCAGCTCCCTGGAGCTGCTGAGAGGAACTTTTATGGAAGAATCTATGAGGGTTTCATTGTTTTTTGTTTTTTTTTTTTTCATTTTGCCAGGCCGTGGCAAATGTTCCAGAGTTGTCTTGTCACACAGCTTCTCCCTGATGTGGACCTTGCCCAGGTCCTGCCATTTTCCTCTTCCAGAGCTGCCCCTGGGTGATCCTTCAGCAGCTCTCAGCATGCAGGAGTGGGAATGGTAGGAAAAACCTCTCATTTTTTCCAAGAGCTGTGACTTGTACCAGCCTGGTCACCAAAACGTGGGTGCAGACACCTGAGCCCCAGTGCTGAGTCTGAACACACTGGAGGCCACAGAGATTGAAATCAGTGCTCAGGGGTGGTTGAATGACTCCACAGGTACCATTTTTATGTGGTCTTTTTGCTTTCCCACTCATTTGGGCCACCATCTGTGCTCTTTCATGTAGTAGAGTCTCTTGCTTGATGATCTTCTGGCTAAATTTCCCCAGAGATATACACCCAAGCCTAACAGGAAGTGAGCCAGGTAAGTTTCCCACGGGCAAAACCAAAAGCTGTGAAATGCTGAGGAAAAACTGTACTGAAGCCTCATCCCAAACTGGGAAGAAAATTTTATCTGGTAGCAGCAGCTTGGCTTAGTCAGAGCCTTTATTTGTGGCAGCTGGAGAGAGGTAATCTGAAGGAAAACACAAAGTTTTTGCTGTAATTCTGATTTTTCCTTGCTAAAGGACTTGGTGATATCGCCCTCTCCAGCACAGACAGAGATTTCCTCCCTTTGCTGGATTTGGGCAGGAGCTGCTGTTTTATGGGGAGGGGGGAAAAATGTCAACCCAAGTGTGGTGGGAGGTTGCAGAGGAACTTCCCAGGTCCACCCACTGTGGATGGAAAGGGATGTGCTCCAGTGGCTCTTTTTGGCTGCACAGTTCTTGAGGCCAGGTTTGCCCACAACCTGGCAGGGAGAGGGTCCTCACAAGGAGCCTGGGTGGACAAGATCCAAACCAGAGGGGGAATCTCACAGCCCTGACCCCAGCATCGGAATTCAGCAGTGCTGGAGACATGTAAGAGCAATCAGAGATGTGGCAGCCTGGGTTTATTGCTGGGGAGGGAGAACCAGCAGAGGAGCAGGCTGAAATCCTGCCATCCCATCTGGCAGAGGCTGCACAGAGCCATCCCTGACATTCCTGAATATGCAGGTTGGGAAGACACAGCTCCCCACGGCTGGGAAAGGGGTGACCACACCCTACAGGTGCAGGAGGGTGACCATGGCACATTCCTGTTGTTCCAGGCTGGATTTTCAGCTTCCAGCAGGTTAGGGATGTCACCCTTCAGCTGTTAGTGGTGTGAAGGAATTCATGTTCCACATGACATTCCCAAGGCTGAGCCTCAGTCTCTGCCGCTCCTGATTCTCATTAAATCTTTATTTTTTGCTGCAGCCACGGAGCTGAAATATGCTGGGCATGTGTGGGAGCATCTTCGTTCCCTGCAGGCCAGGCTTGAGCTCACTGCAAGCTGGAGGAGCTCCTACAGGTACCTGCTGCTGCTGCAGAGACTTTGCCCTGCCCCCTTTTTTACTGGTGGTTCAGGCACTTCACCTCTGAGAGTCACAGATTGCCCCCAGTGGTGTTTTCACAAGTTTTGGATGTTCAAATTGAAATGCTTTGGGTCATTTCCTTAGCTGGTGTAACTGCAGTATATCCAGTGGCCTCCAAAATGTCCCTCTTCTCCATCCACTGAGGTTTAGGGGGTGTTAGTAGTTCTGTGCTTTTCAGTTTTACTCTTTAGCGGCTGATAGATACCCCAAAAACTCCATGGCCACCACATTTCCCTTCAGTTTTACTGCACTGAGATTCATTTGAATGTTTTGGGTACTTTTTTAATAATCCCTTTCCACTTTTTGCTCTGGTTCATCCCTTCATTCCCACCATCCCACCTTGCCCAAATAATTTTCATGATCCTGCTAATTTCTTTGCCTCTCCTGTTTGGGGGATGAGCACAGAGTGTGTAGCTGTGGTGAGACATGTTTGGATGCTAAAACCTTGGCCCACAGCACTTCAAAGTCTCTTCCCTTATTTTATTTTTCCCTGTTGCAGGGTGCTGTCTGACACATTGCATGTTCTCATTAGAAGTGTTGGTCACCTGCTTCCTATTCCCACTCCTGCCAGCACTGATCATCCTCCACATCCACACTTGAGCTGTGTCTTTTCAAAATCTCGTGTACTTGCCTCTGCCTGCAATTGAAACATCCCTGTTTGGTTCCAAGAGCATTATCCCTCTATTCCTCCTGTCGGCATCTGAAAGGTGCTTGGGTTTTTTCATGCCATTCTCACTACATTTATCCGGCTGGGATGTAAATTGAGTCTAGGTCTTCCCTTAATCCTGGAATTACTCCTTTCCACCGACCCTGCTGTGGGAAAAAGGCTGATGAAATCCAACCAGGTCCCCACTGCCTTTACTTTTTGACCTCCACCCCATAAAGTTCAGGTACCCACAGCAAAGCAGCACTTGCACAACTTCCCCGTGTTCCTAAGAGACCTGGTGTCTCCCTGCTTTGCTTGGAACCAGGATTGATTTGTGCATCTCCCCAAGGAAACTGTCCAGGTTAAATCTCAGCTGTGCTCTGTGTTAAACGGAGACAGACTGGCTTCTCTGCACATCCTTTTCCAAAGGGAAGGCTTCCTGCGGCAGTGGAGCAACCCTGGCAGGGGGAAAGCTTGGGGGAAGCTGGAAGGGTCACTCATTAAGCCTCTAGACTTGATTGGCTTTAATTAGCATGAGAAATAACTGTGCAGACTTGTCATACCTGTCAAGGGTCAAAGGAAATCATTCAATCCTTCAAGACTGCGGTAAGTCATTAGATGTCAGTGACAGCAGGCCCAAATAATTGGTGAGAGGAGGTTCAGGGTGCTAGACTTGCAATTAAAACTTCTATTTTGCTCTTTTATCTTTCCTTCCCTCTGTGCTGCCTCCTGTCTCTCTGTCCATCCGAACACTGACTGCTTCTGGGATATTCAATCCCAGGTTTTCCCTGTCACCTTCCTTGCTCTGGGCACTTGACAAAGCCATCCAAGCTCCGTGTCTACTCCTTGATGCCCAGCCCCACTTTCTCCTCCCAGCCTAAATAAGTCTGTGGGAAGCCCATGGGATGTGCTGCAGGTGGAGATTTTGTTTTTGTGTTTTGTGGGATTTCATGGAGAGGTCTTAAATCAGAGCAGATGAAAGTGTGTGGGTATGGCCAGGAATGAGTGGGGATGTGAGAAGTCCCAGATATGGGAATAATTTAAATTGTCTCCTACTAAACTCAAAAAAATTAGTAGTTGGAAAAAAGTAGTTGGAAAACTACTTAGAGTTTGTCTTTTTTTTCACCTGAATCTCCCACAGGAAAAGTCCCATGATTTTTGATTTTTTAGCAATAAAAAGTGTAGGGTTTGGGACCTTTCTATTCCAGGAAAGAGCCAGACAAGAACTATGTGTTTGCAGATAGCAGGATGTCTGTGGTCCTGATGTCTGGTTGAGGATGGCAGGTGGGTGACTGCCCCATCCCATCCAGACAGCAGCCAGCTGATGCTGGGAAGGTTTGGAGGAGTCCACGTGACAATTCCTAGACTCCTCAAGTTCTGCTTTCAGGCAGCAGTGATGGTAAATAATACAATTTCACAAACTCTCCCATGATCCAAACTGCTGAATATAAAGCCTGGCTCTGGCAGGGACTCTCTGAATCATTCCTCTGCCTCCTCTGCTTTCCCTTTTTGGATGGCAATAAAGACTCCTGCCACCACACTGAAGCTTCATTAACCTTTATTAATTTTCTCAGGGTTCCGGGATCAAATTTGTCACCATTTCAACCCTTGGCAGTTCATACTTCTTGAAAAGATGTCTGACTGTTTTACCTCCTTGGGGGAAAAGATCTTCTGTCTGGTACTTGCTGTTTGGAAACAAATTGGCTGCCAGATCACAGATTACTGGGGCTCAGCTCTGCTCTCAGCTATTCCATGTGACTCCAGTGGAGTCAGCTGAGCTCTCCTGATTTGCAGCAGGCGATCCTGGTGGATGGGATTTGGTTGTTGTTGCTGGGTTTTTTCTCTCTTTGCTAGGGAGGGGATGTGTCAGGGTTACAGCATGTCCACTAATACAGACAACAGAAATTTAGCTTCCCCTCCAGCCAATTCAGGGCTGATCCACACAGAATAAAAATGGAAAGCTGGTGGAGCATGGACTCAGAAGGAACAGTTAAATGCCTTTGATTTACTGTGGATGCATTATTTACCTTCTGAACTTCACACTGTGGGCTCCCCTGGGAGAGTCTCAGTAGGACGCAAGGGTCAGGAGCTTGTCTCTCACCGAGAAGGAAAAGTTCCCAGTTATGGCTGTGTTGGTACTCTGCTGATGCCAGACTTTCACGTCTCTTTGTTGCTGGTGGCAGGGTAAAGCCTGTGAAGGAGACATCTTATTGAGATATCCCTTTCCTTTCCACCTGCCCTCACCTGCCTGCTCCACTCAGCATTTCCTGGCTCCTCTACAGGACATTTCTAGGCAGCTGCTGGTTGCAAGGCAGAATTTCTCACCAAAAGCACCCTGCCAGTTACCACCATAAATCTCAAAACACCGCTAAGGATGGTGGGATTCAGTGCCAGCACAAGTGCAGCACGGAGCGCAGACACCCTAGAAAACCACTGAGATTATTTAAAGACCAGAGATAAGGGATCATACTCTGCGTGGTCCCAAATCTCACTCAAAAAGAAGGGGTTGAACCACCAGCCAGCCCGAGTCTTTCAGGCTGCTTGGTGCTGAAACCTCAGGGAAGACTGGTGGCCAGGGGTGCTGGGGTTGGAAAGCAGGTGGCCACGTCAGGGGAACGTCGCAGGTCGCTGTTGTTAATGCGTGTTACCTTTGTAGTGAAAGATCTTGCAGAGTGAACCAAGGTGTATTTACATGACCCATTACCTTGCCATAGCCAATGGACGCTATAATTCCAGAAGCCAATCGCTGAGGTCCACAGATAACAGAAAGCGAGAGGACCCTGACGACCTGCAGCACTACGGGTACCCTGCACCTCAAATAGGTAAGCTCTGACCTCCCACAGCGGCCTCTGGAGCTGGGACACTGCTCTGGTCACTGCACTGCCCAGCTGGGCTGGGCTCTCTGCACTGTTTCAATGACCCCCTAACCATCTCCTTCCCCCCAGGTCAGTGTGGGGGACACTCCCCCCGTTGTTGTCACGCGCTGGACAAATGGTCGTCGCCCCGTTTGTTCCCATTCCATCACCCCACGGGGTTTTGTGTCGTCACCATCAGCCAGAGGCGGCAAAAAGGGACAGACACAAAGCCCTGACAAGACCATCCATCCCACAGAATGTTTTCCCATCACCTTGCCTACCTCTGAGTCACTGCTTTGTCTGAGTTACCCAACCACACGTGGTTCATGAAGCCAAAGCTGACCTTGCTGCAGTGCAGCCCCTTTGCTGATGTCCATGTCATGCCTTCCCATTGGCTGTGAGAGAGGGTGAGCAGGGCTCGGTGGGGACAGGACAGGATTGGTTTCCTCTCTCCGTGGGTCTTTAGTGCTGTGCAAGGACTTGCCTCCAGTAGGTTCTGCAGCAGGACCTTCCACCCTTCTGCCACAGAAGGGGGATAATGTGTAGCAATATCAGACAGCTTGATCTGGGAAGATGGGGATGAATTAGACCTAGATCCATGCCAGGTCTGATCTGCCCCATCCCTGGAAGTGTTCAAGGCCAGGTTGGATGGGGGTTTGGGCAACCTGACCTAGTGGAAAGTGTCCCTGCCCAGGGCAGGGGGGTTGGAAGTAGATGATCTTTAAGGTTCCTTCCAACCCAAACCATCCTGTGATTCTGTGATTCAGTCTGGAAAGGTTCTGTGCTCTCCCTTCATGCCTGTGTGTCGTGGCAGGATCTCAACACATCAGGGGTCTCAGGCAGAGCACAGCCTGCTGAACCTGGCCACAGGTTAAAATCAGTGCCCAGTGACCTTGCCAGCATTTCGTGCTCTAGAAAGGCTTCAAAGAGATGGTTTGATTAGAAGTGAGAGAGTGTCATATTCTAGTGTAGGTTACCTGTGCTCCACCCAGCCCAGGAGGACTTTGCCTCTGTGCAGCATCAGGAATCCGTGTGCTGTGGCGTATCTGGGGGTGACTTGTTTGGGTTCTGGTTTTCAACCAGAAAGGGGACAATTTCCTCTCTACCCTGCACGGACTCTGCTCCCTCCAGTGAGAGCAGCTCCACTGCCTGCAGGATGGATCCCTGGAGTCTGGTAAAACCTGCAGGAGAGGGAGGACTTCTGCAGTGCTACAACGTGGAAAAGCTGAGCTTAATCTCTCTGTCCAAAGGCAGAGGAAAGGAAGGCACTCCAAGGCAGGCCCCTGTTGTTCCTACTCTGCCTGGTCCCAGGTGCTTCCCTGGAGCTCCCGTTCCAGCCTATAACTCTGCCATCAGGTTTATAGTTTGGCATTTCTTCCTGCCGTGCAGCTGGGTGCTGGATCTGGGCTCAGTGACGTCTCTGTCACCCCCCTGCCATTGTGGCCACCGCTGTAGCATGGCTGGCTTGGGCTGTGGCATCCCTGAGGGCAGCATGGGCTGGGAGATGTGCATTGTCCTGCTGCAAGCTTCCCTCACCCCTGTGGCTGTCCCAGGCTGCTCGAGGAAATCAGGATGGAGATGTAGAGACAGAGGGTACAGCCCAGCAAGGGGTTAGAGGGAATTTTTAGCTGAGGATGCCGAAGCAAAGCCCACAACTTCCCCATGGACACAGATTGTAGGGAATAAGACATTTCACGTCTGCTCAAGACCTGGAAAAATATGAAATACAGAAATGAGCTGATGCCAGCCATAAGGACTGTGGATGAGGGGACGGCCTTGCCCAGCTGAAGAGCAGCATTTTCTTCTGTTGTCCAGGTCCTGCTGGCCCCCAGGCTGTGGCAGGGCTGTACTCTCAGCCAGGGTGCTGCTGGCTGCCCATGTGCCTCTGCCAGCAGCAGCACAGGAGCCAGATCCAGCCCAGCAGGTCCCTGGCATGGGCCCTCCTGGCTCAGCCCAGGCTGCTTCCAGGAGGACTCTGCCAGCAGCAGGATGTGCAGGGAGGCACATGGGGAGATGTCAGACTGACAGACCCCAAAACAGAGAGGGCTCCTGGCAGAGGGGTGTGCTGCTCCATTAGTGCTGAGGGGAGTCATGGAGCAGCTGCAGGCACTGATGGGGCTGCAGCCAGGAGCTGGAATGATCCTGGATTGCAGTGCTACATCCCCATGGATTAACACCCAGCGTGTCTCATTCTGCAGCACCAGCTGGACCCTCTCCATCTGCTGCAGCTGCATCTGTGGGAGCAGCAAGGGCCATCTTCCCACTTCAAGTGGGGTATGAGCCCTGGGAAATCCTTTGGGACACTCCTGCTAATCCCCAAGCTACTCTGGGGCATCACAGGACTAATAGAAATCAATCCTGAGGAGATAACTCCCTGCAGGCACCAGTGATGAGGCAGGGCAGGGCTTGGCCCCTTCTCCTCTGGGGATGAAGACAAATTTGGCTGGAGCCGCTCTGCTATGAACACAGGCTGAAAGACTTTGGGCTGTTCAGCCTGGAGAAGCAAAGGCTCTGGGGACAACTTAGAGCCTCTTCCAGTGCCTGAAGATTCTCCAAGAGAACTGGAGAGGGACTTTGGACAAGGGCATGGAGGGACAGGACAAGGGGCAATGGATTTAAGCTGAAGGATGGCAGGTTTAAATTGGATATTGGGAAGAAAATCTTCTCTGTGAGGCCAGTGAGACCCTGTCAGAGGTTGTCCAGAGGAGCAGTGGACGCCCCATCCCTGGAAGTGTCCAAGGACAGGTTGGATGGTGTTCGGAGAAAGCCAGGACAGTGTCCCTGCACATGGCAGGGGGTTGGAACAAGATATCTTTAAGGTTCCTTCCAGCCCAAACCATTCCATGATTCTGTAATCTCTGTCAGGTTGAATTATAAAACAGCACTGAGCTGGACTAGGCAGCTTTCAAACCCAATGAGCACAGTAGGCATCTTGCCATTATATCAAAAACCAGAGTCAGAATCCTCTTCTGGGATGAGTAATTGCAATACACTTCCCTCAGTAATTTGCATTTGCTGCCATTTGACCCACAGGAGTGCAGAAATCCTTCTCACTCATAGTTTTGATGATGGGCACTACTGTGTTTCTGTCGAGTTGAGAATGAATTTGTCTCATGCCTGAGGAGTGTCTCAGAACTGGGTCTCGCTTGGTTTGAAAATTTGTTAAATTTGTGCAAGGTTTAGGCTGGACGTCATGTCCCAGATGGGACTGAGATGAATTGCTTGGTTCAGAATGACACCAAGCCCAAGGGAGTCACCAGCACTTAGAAAATAAACTGTATTATGGGTTTAAAAGCCAGGGATTCATGCAATGTGAGGGACAATAATTGAGGAGATTTACCTCTAAGCACAGCTATTTCTGCTGTGAAAGAGCAAAAGCCAGAAATAATAAAGAGGAAAGAGGCAGGAGAGGTGGGATTTGGTTCAAAGATGCCATTCATTTGTCCAGTGACACAGTAGCTCTCCTGAATATGGAGATTGCAAAACCCCAGCCAGGTCTGAAGGTGAGGTTGGTGGCACAGTGAGCTCTCCAAGCCATGAGCTGCTGATGGAGGAGACCCCTGTGTCTCTGCAGGCTTCCCCTGTCCCACTTCTGGCCTCCCAGAAAGATTTTGGGACCCAAACTTGGAGTGTTTAACTACCAAAATCCCCCAGCTGCCTGGCACTGAGGGACAGGATGCTGCTGGATGCAGAGCTGGGGAGGTTGCTCAAGGTGGATGGATAAATGCAAAGGCACCACTGGTTCATGGAGCACCCAAGCAGGCAAAGGAGCAGGAATGGTTGGGATTTGTGGGTCTGAGAGGGATCTGCTGAAGTCTGGGACACTCAGGATGGCAAATGATGAAGTGATGGTACCATAAATGTAATTTTCTGGAGGTGAGCTTGCAGCATGGCAGGACTCTGGATCTGACAGAGCTGGATGTTGGAAAGGCAGGAAAATTGCCATGGAAATGCAGATGTCTCTCTACCAGGAGATCTTGTGAAGCAGGACATGGGAGTGATGTTTTCCTGTAGCCTCAAAACACACAATGTCTCCTACACATCCCAGGGGAAAGGCCAGTGGTCCATAACTTTCATCCAACTGGGACCAACTGGGCAAAATAATGAAACAAAATGCAAAAGTAGAACAGTTTTGAGCAACTTTGGCTCAATGAATAACAGCAGTTGCTTCTCATGATAATCCTTGCAATGGCACAGATGGGGTAGGAAAGATTGATCCTCACCTCCACCTCTTTCTGTGTCCACACAATAAATGAAGGAGTGAAAGTCTGTCCATTTTACAGCAAGGACAGGTCTTCCTCTACATTTTTCCCCCTCAACACACATTAATTCAACAGGCTCCAGTCAGCTGGGTGTATTTTTAATTCCCAGCTGCCGGAATGACAGGAGACATTCAAAGCAGATGTGCTGAAAAGCATGACACAAACCAAGTAACATAGATAACTACCAAAAATCCCAAAGAGCAGATTGATGAGCATCACAATTTAATTGCATGTGAAAAACACTAGTAAATAAATATAAACAAATAAATATAAATCATAAATATACCACCTCGAGGAAAAACACAGACATGCAGAGTTTTAGGCAATATTGGGAAATTTGGTGATCTCCAACCTTTACAGTCCCCACCACAGTTCCTGCTCTGACATTTTCATGCAGCTGGTTTATAACCCTCACCGAGATCTCCAGCTGCAGAGTCTCTTTCCTTCCCCACATTGCAGCTGGACAGTTCAGTACAGCATCCTCTGCCCAGCTTTCTTTGGGAATGGGGTGGTGCTGTGGGATAGCACATCCAAGTGCTGGGTGCCAGGGTGGATGACCCTTGGGGTGATATTTACCTGTTCCAGCCAGTGCTGTGATCCCTCTTATCACCCACAGTCTGCCAAATGCATCCTTTTGGGATGAAACATGGGGCAGTCTGAGGTTCAGAATAATTTCTCATGAGAAGGGGTTGCCCCTCTGTTATGCTGGTGTTTATTTTTTGCCATATGCCTGTGTTCTATACATACCAAACACTACATTCCAGTTTTATTATGTGTAATTATTTGCAATCCATGAAAAATCAAAAAAACCAAACAATGCATAGCTTAGTTAAATAGAACAGAGCCAGCTTTTTATTTTCATGTGGGGAAGAAAAGCATTTTGTCAAAGAATAGAATATTTCCAGTGAAAACTAGTGGAAAATGGTCCCTGCTCATATCACACTTAGTGAAATTAGTGACATATTTGGAGGTTGTGGCCTGCTGAAGCAGCCCCAGCAGGAATATTAGTGACAAAGGAACACATCTCAGTGCTTTTCACTCCCATCAGTGGGATATTTTTAGTTGCTTTTCCAGTGCTGCCCCATCAGATAAAGCAGTTGATAGGGAGTGTGTGATGCCCTGGAAGAGTCAGTTTTGTTCCGTGTCACACGCTCAAAGCAGATCTCCACAGGCAGAGGACATGCCAAGAAAACTTCCTGAGATTTCATCAGCTGACCCTTCTTAGGCACCATCAGCTTCTGCTTTGTCAGCTCCTCCTCTGCCAACCTGCACTGGCAGGGGCTGTGAGAAGGCAGGAAAAGGGGTTGAATCCTTAAAGTGAGCAATTTATGGACACATTTACTCTGTCTAATCCCTGTTGGTACAATCTCTAAAGGGAGGCTCCCTATCCCAGCTCACAAGGTTCTGGAGTGGCTACGCCACCTTCAGTGGTGGAGTTTGCCCTTCCCAATAACCTGATGCTTCCACAGCATCCTTTTTCTTTTATTTTTATTTTTTTTTTTATGTGTATGTGTTCTACAGCTCTACACAGTACCCAAAAAAACCCCTTTAGCCCATTCTCAACTCTCACAATTTCTCCCCAATGCCCTCACACCCTCCCACCCATCCTGTCACCCCACCCGCAGGACACATTGCAGCCTCACAGATCTCACAACCGGCCAAGCGTAACTTGGGAATTTCTTCCCCTGGAGATCCAAGGATGCCACATCCTCACCTTCTGTTCCAACCCCCACAGGTGACCCTGCAGCAGAGGAGTGGTCCCCGTGGAGCGTGTGCTCGACCACCTGCGGGGAGGGCTGGCAGACCAGGACCAGGTTCTGTGTTTCGTCTTCCTACAGCACCCAGTGCAGTGGCCCTCTCCGGGAGCAGAGACAGTGCAACAACTCTGCTGTGTGCCCAGGTATTGGTGGCCAGCAGGGGAGGGAGTCTGGTTGCCTGTGGTATCTCCACTGAGATATTTCTGGGAGGCCCTGGCACAGGTTGCCCAGAGAAGCTGTGGCTGCTCCATCTCTGGAAGTGTCTAAGGCCAGATTGGATGGGGCATGGAGCAACCTGGGATAGTGGAAAGTGGTTGGAATTAGATGATCTTCCATTCCAAACCATTCTGTGATTCTGTAATTCTTGGAGGGAGATGGTTTTTGTTCCCTGTTCCTTCTCTTTATGCTTTAAGGCCTCATGCAGAGACTCTTGCTAGACCAAGATGGCAAGACAAGCAAAAAGATGGCAAAAAGACAAGATGGGCACCTGCTTTGCATGGTGTGGACAATTCCATGCCATCTAACATCCATGAACCCAGTTCACCTGCAGGCAGGTGCCCTTTGGGGCGTTTCCAGGCTGAGAACAATTTTGGTAAAAAAACACATCCTGAGGAGGCTGGAGCCTACGAGAAAGATGGGGAGGGACTTTTTACGAAGAGCATGGAGTGACAGGACAAGGGGAAATGGCTTCAAACTGAAAGACAGTAGGTTTAGATTGAATATTAGGAAAAAATCCTGCCTTGTAAGGGTGGTGAGCTCCTGGCACAGGTTGCCCAGAGAAGCTGAGGCTGCCTGGAAGTGTCCAAGACCAGGTTGGACGTGGCTTGGAGCACCCTGGGGTAGTAGAAGGTGTCCCTACCCATGGCAGGGAGTTGGAAGGAGATGATTTCTGAGGTCACCTCCAACCCAAACCAGTTTCTATTATAATTTTGAAGAATTTTGCTGTTAAGCTAAGAATGTTATGCATTTCTCCTGACCAGCAACATCACAGTTCAGAAACAATTCTGTGATGGTGAAACCACCATCCATGGTGAAACCACCATCCGTGTTCTTTCCTGTGTTTCCTCCTCTGGCTATCTCTTATCATGCAAGATGCCTGGTGAGAATTACTTTTGAACCCCCTTTCCTGACACTGGGGCACCAGTCACTGTTAACAATTGATGAAGGACTGGAAAAGTCCTGTTTTGGTTTTTTTTTGTGTTATTTTTCTGAAGGATTATTGATTTGATATTAGCTTCTCTGGTAAAGCTGGAAGGGATGAAGTCCCTTAAGAGAGATCAGTGCATTCTTACAACATTTGGCCTCTGGAGATTATAGTGACTAAAATTCCATAAATAACTTGGCCAGATTAGATTAGATTAGATTGGAGAAGATTAGATTAATATAGATTAGAAGGCTAATGAGAATAGATTAAAATCGATTAGATGTCTAATTCCAGGATCTACCAGTGATGTCTTGAGTGCTCTAGGAGGATGTTGCCCATTCCATTTTACCCTTCCAAGTCTCCCTAACTTTGCCTCTGAGGTGTTACTGACCTAGGATAATAATAACCAGTAGCAGACTACAGCTTTTCTGAAAGCCTTAAAATGTTGTAGTCTCTGAGGATTCGATGAGAAAATGTTGGAAGAGAGGAAATAAAGGGCAAGACGCGACAAAACGTTGGTGATGATGCTTCCCTAATGGTGGTGGGGCTTTATTCCTTTCTAGCTAAATCCATCTTTTGCTTAAAAAATTCCCTGTTGGCTCAAAAATCTGAAAAATTAAGGTCAGCTAAAAGTGCATTGTGTTTTATTTCAAAGACTGGAAAGCAGCAGGCACTTGGTGTTGATAGCAAAGCACAAAAATTACTTGATGTTCCTCTTGCACATTTTGGGCTGGTTTGTTCTCCAGCTTCCCACGCGCTGCTCATTCTGGGTGGGAAGAAGCTGTGCCCTGCGGGTTCCCTCACTTCCTCAGACCTCCTCTGGAAGAGAAAAGTCACTTCTTCTGCTTCCCTTGCAGTGCACGGCACCTGGGACGAGTGGTCCCCGTGGAGCCTGTGCTCCTCCACTTGTGGGAGAGGCTACAGGGATCGGACCCGCACCTGCAAACCCCCCCAGTTCGGTGGGAACCCCTGCGAGGGCCCGGAGAAGCAAACCAAGTTCTGCAACATCGCTCTCTGCCCAGGTAGGGACAGTGACAGATCTGAAACCTCCCCTCCAGCAGGTCTCCCCAGCTCGGTTTCCCTCACATGGCTCGTCAAGGTCTGTAGCTGACTCCAGTGAAATTCTGAACTACCCCAAGGAGGATCCTGAGGAAAGGATTCACTGAAGAAGAAACCTGGAGGTGATTTCTGGGGTTGTTCAGTCTCAGGTTCAGGTTTCCCTTGTGTGATCTCTTGCAGAGGACACCTTACATGGGTTGGATCTGGCTGCCACTGCTATTTCCAAGACTATCTTCAGCTTCTTACCTGTTCTCCCCACTGAATGCTTTAAAGTTGTTTTGCCTGACTGATTTTGTTGGGCTGGAATTAATTAATAGTTTTACTTGTCTGTGCATTAATTCAATATAAATGCAAGTTTTCTCTGTGGCAGATCCTGCTCTGGGTGATGAGATGGACTAAGAGACTCCTAATGGCTTCCATGACAAATTTAATCTTTTTACCTTTTCCCTGCCCCTAAATTTCACTTCCAAATGCCTCTCCTCGGGTTTTGCTCTGAAACATCAGAAGGAACCTCAAGATGAAGTTACTTTTACCACCTGGAAATCCACTTATGCTCCAGAGGCTTCTTGCCTCTGACAGGCCTGGGTTTACAACAGAGTGCCCCTTAATTTAACTCTGGGTATCCTAGTGGACAGGATCTGTTCATGAGCTCCCTCCCCAAAACTCCCTCCCTATCCCTGGATAATGTCAACTGACATTTTTCCAGTTTAATGAGAATCATTATGAGACATTATTATGTCCCTGGAGGAGGAGAGGGATTGTGGGAGGGATGAGAACTTTGTGAAAACAGTGAGAAGCCTCCTGGCATTTCCCATCGAGTTTTCACTCCAAGTAACTATCCTTGGATACTTGGCCGCTGTCCAGAAGACTCTACTTGGAATAAGAACCTCCCAGACACCAAATTGACTCTGTCATAAAAAGACAAATTTAAGAAGTCAGAGCTGGCATTGCTTGGGCAATAAAGCATACCCTGAGTTAACATTGATCCATAATTAATTTAAATACAAATAAATACGCGACTGAAACAGCGGTGGAAAAGACAAGCAGCCCAACTGCAAGGCTTCAGCTCTAATTAGCGCCACAAAGGCAATCAGTGGCTTGGCAGCGCCAAATGAGAACGGCTTTGGGGGAATCACTGAAGCACAACAATGGGTGTTTGACACCCCAGACACTCTCAGGGTTTAATACCACCCTGCTCTGAGGATTTATTGCTACAGCTGATAAAAATGCTCTGCTGCAGGGACAACGGGGCCTTTGTTCCCCCTGAGCTGTGGATGCCACAGGCATCCAAGCCCGTGGAAGTCCCCAAGTCCGTGGAAGAGGGAAAAAGAGGAAGACAATGCAGACACCAGACAATGAACATTTTTGATAGACTCCCACTGTGGTGTGATCATGGCACCAGACAGTCCTTGGTGGTGGCTGTGGTGGGAACCCCTCAGCATCTTGACCAAGAAGCATCTTTGCATCAGTGCAAGGTGGCTGGAGGGACAGCACAGCCACATTTGTTTCCCCATTTTTTCAAATGTTTCTGAAATTACAGCCTGTGAATAACTACAAAGAAATTACCTGTTTCCAATCCCCCACTGAATGACCAGATTATGGATTTGGCTCCTTTATTTCACCATCTCCAAATGCTTGCATTCCTGATAAGCTGCCAATCACCAGCAGCAGAGAGGGTATTGGAAAAATTCAACTTCTTTTTGATAAATGCAATTTTCTGGCAAGTGTCATGTTTAATGTGGTGAATGCACTCTCACTTTTCCAACAAAGGGAAATATTAATGAGGGGCAGACACCATCATTGTAAGGAAGAAATTCTTCCCTTTGAGGGTGATGAGGCCAGAGAAGCTGTGGCTGGCCCATCTTTGGAAGTGTCCAAGTTCAGGTCGGGCAGGGCTTGGAGCAACCTGGGCTAGTGGAAGGTGTCCCTGCCTATGGCAGGGGATTAGAATTAAATGATCTTTACCTTTCCAACCCAAACCGTCCTGTGATTCCATGATTTTATGATCAGTCCATGGAAATTTAGCAGCACAGCCTTCAGTCAGAAAAGCCACGCTAATTTATACCTGGTGGGACCTACTTTGTGGAGTTTGGATCATTTCCAAAGAATAATCACCTGTCAAACACTCTGTTTCACGTTTCCCCTCGTTAGGATTGATAAGCACTGGCACGAAGCCTTGAATTTATGCACAATAAAAACATACATTTTTGGATTGTTAAAAAAAGCACCTATTAGAAGTACCTTTTTGCCTGCCTGATTTTGCACACTTTGAGTTAACAGTTGCTCATTTAGATGCTTTTCACTTTTTTTTTTTTTTTTTAACTGAGTTTGCAAACAAAAAGCAGCTCAGTTGCAATGGGGATTACACAGGGTTGATCAATTCCTTGCAGATTACACGGGGGACAAGTTGGCATTTATTTTTCTTGGGGCAGACAAGCAAAGCTAAAAAAAAAAAAATGAGCTGCAATGTGACTGAGCCAAAATTCAGACTTTTCAGAGATTCAGGTTGTTTTTCCTGAATGAGATCTAGCAGCTAATTAGATCTAAACTGAGCATGATGACCACTGTTAATGAGAAAAATGCTTCAGGAAGAGCAGACTGGGTGATGGATTTGTTGATCAGGGACCAATTAGGGTGTAATCAGCACACTTGGGAATGTTTCAGTCCATACCATGATAATAAGATGTATTCCTGTTTCTCTCCAACCCTGTCCCTATCATAACCTCCCTTGTCCCTCCCTCCTCTATTTAATTATCAAAGACCCTGCTGGGTAGAAACATCTCCAACCTGTCAGAATTAATTCAGCTGTGAGAGAAGTACATTGACCACACACACTCACCCTGATCCAAATCTTCCCAGCACACCTTTGCTCCCAGATTTCCCAGCCAGCAGGAATGGTGGGTTCCCGTCAATAACACTGTGATTTGAGTTTCTGGGTGTGCTTTAATGAAAAAGCAAATGAAAGAGCATTTTTGTGCTTGAGAAAAAGTTCATTCTCCACAGATTTGCTGAAAAATGGGTCCCTTGTAAAAGTGCTGATGGCCCCAAATGGGAAATGTCACAGTAATGTAGTGATCCCTTCAGAGTTCAGTGAAAACATGAGCCACGCCCTCTGGTGTGATGTTGTGTTGTGATTGGCAATGTTATTAGTTTGGACTTTCATGCTGGAACGGGCAATATCAGTAATTTCAACTTTTATGGTGTTAAACGGAGTGTGGAACATAAAAATAGCATCCTTTGGGACTGCTGGGAGCTGCAGAGGGTCCCAAAAATCCCTGCTGCCACAGTCGTCCAAACCCTTTTTTGATGAGCTTTGCCCTCTGTCAAGTTCTGTGACTCTTTGTCCTCGGCCCCTGGCAGGCAAAGGCCTCAGGCTCTTGCCATGCTCCTCCTTCCAGAGGGAAAGATTTTCACATTCCGCTCGTTTTCTTTCTTTGGGCCACTCAGTGGACGGCAACTGGAACGAGTGGTCGAGCTGGAGCTCGTGCTCCGCTTCCTGCTCCAACGGGACCCAGCAGCGGACGCGGGAGTGCAACGGGCCCTCCTACGGCGGAGCCGAGTGCCAGGGACACTGGGTGGAGACCCGGGACTGCTTCCTGCGCCAGTGCCCAGGTCGGTGACCAATGATTTCTTCTTTCTCTTGGCCTGCCTTCCTCTGCAATCCCAGTAAAATGTTTCTTTGGGGAAGACTTGCGCCCTTTCCGGTGCAGTAATAAGGAGGTTTGGATCATTCCGGCAGACCGTGCCAGCCAAAATCCGCAGCTGGCAAATGTTTCAGGAGACCCCAGAGAGGTGAGTGATTGCCCACAGGGAGTGTCTTTCTAACCTTAGATATCAGCTTTTCAGCGTGAGCTTAAAAAAACTCCCAAGAAAATATCAATGAAACCCTTCCCTAGGCTCCACAGGGCTTCAGCTTCCCTCCTCTTTTTGTTTTGTTCCTGCCCTCCCACTATTTCAACATTCCCAGTCATATTTCAAGCAAACAGGGGATCCTCCATTGTATTTCAGCTTTAAACCTTATCAGTGAGAAGGTCTGTCACAATAAAGCCTTTGTTCAAGTCTTATGTCACTTACTTTACTCACCTGTGACTTACTAATAATGACAACAATAATAATACTAACAACAGTAATAATAATAGTAATAATAAAAATAATAATTCCTACTGGAATTCATCATGGTCTACCTGTTTCTTCAGGGAATCCCTTTACACTCTGGTAACACCATTATCTGCAGTATTTAACAGAGGTGTTGGATTTTCCTACATGGTTTTGAGTAGGTTTGGATGTTTAGGTATCTCACTCCTTCTTTGCAACTTAGGGAGATCTTCAAAGGCAAAAAGGGGCTTCAGAACCCCTCTTGAGACAACCTTGTCCCACTGATTTCAGAGTTTCCTGTCAAAAATACTTTCTACTGCTCAAAATATCACTAAATGAAGCACCAGGATTTGGTGCTGTCCCTCTTCTTCAGTAATTTTTTTCTACTTCTTGGAGCAGGCATGGATCTCCCACACTCCCAAAAGGAATTATTCAACCCAAGATGATGTGGTAACTCAAAATTAAAGCCCAAATAGTAAAGAGCATACTTAGGCCCTGTTCTAGTTCTGTCACTGAGTTATTGTGGTGCAGCAGAGGAGAATGTTTCCCTACCTTGCAGGCTTGTTCTGAGGGCTAATTAACATTTTTATGGCGCTTTGATAAATGCCATTGTTAACATAAAAGAAGCAGAATTTTGATAAATGTCATTGTTAACGTAAAAGAAGTCACAATTCCACTGAATCTGGAAAGATGTTGGGAGAAAACACAACATCCCAAACTCTTTCCAAGGCACGTGAAGCATCAGTGCAATGGAAACAGCTGGAGGGAGGTTTATTTGATGTTCCTTCATGGCTTTTTGCTCTGCTGGTCTCTCTAAATCTCTGAGCCAGACCTCCTCCAGGAAGGCCTGTTTTCACACAGGAGTTGTACATTCCCAGGGAACTCCAGACTTGGACCTTGCCCATGGGAAGAGCGTTCAGGAGCACAGCCCCAAATCTCAGCCCGAGGAAAGAGTTAGGGCTGCTTTTGCAGAGCGTGGAGGTGCTGAGGAGGAACACAAAACCACCCTTGGACTGATGGGATGGGAACGGGAACACTGATTTAATGTCTGTTGAGGATCAAAGATCCAAAGCAGGAGACCTCCCTTCCTACCAAACCTTGCCCTACTCACTCTATGTTCCTCTGCTCACCTTTGTTTCCTTCTGCTGCAAATGATGTTTGGGATAACAGGCTGTTTCTCCTATTTTTCCTCTTATTTTTTTGTTTCCAGTGGATGGGAAGTGGCAGGCCTGGGGAGTGTGGGGCAGCTGCACTGCCACGTGTGGAGGTGGCACTCAGAGACGTGACCGGGTGTGCTACGGCCCCTTCTTCGGTGGACAGACTTGCCAGGGTCCCAAGGAGGAGTACAAGCAGTGCAATGACAGAAAGTGTCCTGGTATGTACCCCAGACCCCTCGTGCTTTCCTTTGATTGTGGCAGAATTTTGTAATTTTGGATTTTGGGAATGGCTTCCATGTCCTTTGTCAGAGATCTGAATGCTACAAAGGGCTGTAATCTAATAAAATCCTACCCATGACCCAGGTACAAGGCAGAATCCAGTGTAGCTGTGTTGGTTTCCATGAAAATTTGGTCAATCCCACCAGCCTTGCCTTGGTGGTTTCACCTTTTCATTGCCATAGAGTTACAGGAGGAAAAGAGAAACTGTTTGGTTTTGGTAGCAAAAACTGATATTAGAGTCTCAAGTCCATGATGTTGTTGAGTACTGAGGATGCTGCAGATGTTTCCCACCCTTTACCTCAGAAGCCTGCACACCACTGGAAATTTTAAAAACGATGTGTCTGCATCTGTCAGAGCTTTACCCGAATCTCTCCCTCCTGCAGAGTGCAAAAGCTGAGTGGAGGGTGAGTGAGCTGTAGGGCAGATAAAAATCTGGTTTGGATGTGCAAAACAAGCTGGAGTAAACACTTCCAAGTGGGAATGTTTCTGCCTGCCTCTTAGACTATACAGAGACCGGAATAAAGGCCTGCCCACCATTTCTGCTTTCTTCCTCAGTCTGAGTGGAAGGGCCTGGTGAAATTGCTGGTGGGGAATCAATGGCCTTTGTGATGTTTGCAGTCAGATTGCATCGATTGTAACAGGCCATGAGCTTTGGCTGAAAGGGTAATTAATTGCCAGAGCAGCTCAGTGAGAGATTCTCATGGCAGTGTCCCAGCGTTCCCAGTGGAAAGGGGCATCTCCCTAAAGGACAGGAGGCAGCAGTTTGGATTCAGGAGTTCCTGGGGGCAGATGTGCCATGTAGAGGCCAAGCCAACCCCTCAGACTCCCTCACAAAGTGCTGAAGACAAAGAGATGAAAGCCAGAGGACTTCAGCATGGAAGCTCCAGCACGTTCAGCTCGGAGATGACAGAGAAAGAGGCTGTGTGACAGCCTCGTCACTCTTCCCAGCTAGGCTCTAATAAAAGGCATCACCTCTCCTCACAAGCTGTGCCTCTCAATTAGCAGTGGCGTGTGAGAATCTCTTCTAGCTCTGCCACAAAGCTCTCCCTCGCCACAGAAAATCTTAGCACCGGGTTGTCTGGTGGTGTCTACAGAGTGAGGCGGATTTAGTTCAGCTTCAGCGTGTGCCAGCTGGGGCCCTGGCAGAACAAGCCCGATCCTTTCTTCTCTTTCTGCAGGGGTTGATGCCTGTGCAGTGCTCCAAAGGAAAAGGCAAGTCTCAGGCACTGGGGCCTGCCAGGGTTCACAGCCAGAAGGGTCTCACTGCAGTTGTTAATTTGCAAGGGAAGGAAAAGGTGGGGAAACATCAGAGGCTAAAAATAAACCCGCTCAATTTGTTCTCCAGAAAGTATCAAATGCTGGTGTGATTTGATTTGAGCAGAAGAATTGAACTTAATTGGGTTAGTTATTAAAATCTCCCAGTGCAAATAGGTTGCTCTGGTAAAAGGGATTTTGTTGTGAAGCAACATCAAAAAGAAAAAAAAAGGAAGAAAAAAGGAAAGGATGAAATGATTCTCTCCTGGCCTGGGAATTGCTCCTGCGCTCACTGGCAAGACAACTCCAATCAGTGTATTTTTAAAGAGCATCTCTGATCTACAGCATCCCTCAGTGGTCCCCAGGGACACTGCAGGGGTGTTGAGACCAGGAAGTTTTGACAGGCCAGCGGGGGAGAAAGGGGAGGAGAGATGTGAACACTCCCCCTCTGCTTTTCCCTGTGCTCTCCTGCTTTGTAGCTGATGGTGCTGGAAGTTTCCACACCCCAGAACCCTCCTGTGAACCATGGGACAATCTGTGACGGTGGTCAAAGCAGGGGGACAAGAGTTTGGAAATCAGCTCCCTGCTCTGGGACGTGCTCTGTGGGTGACCAAATGCTGTCACAACTGGGTTATTCCATCTCCCTGTCCCTCAGCTCCATGTCAGCAGGCTGGAAATTAAACTGATTCTTTTCCACCCCTCTTCTGGCTTATCTGCAACAGCCTGAGCTGTTGGCTCAGGGATGAGTCCTGCTCATGTGCAGAGCACAGCTGGAGCCCTGCTGCCCTCCAGGGTTCCATCACAAGAGCAATTACTCACAAGGGAGCTTTAAACCAAGGGAAGGAGCATCTGTTTCCAGGCAGAGAATTCAGCTTATTCATTCCCAGTGTCTGCTGGGGAGGAATCCATCTTTGAACTGCAGCTGGGGCTGGGGCCACACACTCTTGGAGCCTGCCTGCAGGAGCAGTGGTGTGCAGGCAGCTTGTTGGGTCTTGCAGGAGTTCTTCAAAGCAGCAGGACTTGCCATGCCCATAATTTAAATCTGAGCCCTCCCCACAGCCAGGTTGGTCCCTGGGTAGTCCCAGAGCAGCAGTGGGACATGTCCTGACCAGCTGCAGGCACAAACTCAGCTTCCTTTTGATTGGAAATTTTGCGTGCACAATGAATAAAAACTGTAATCAAAAACTATTAAATCAAGTTTTTTTCTCCTTCCCTCCCTCAGGAGTGATAAATAGCTTTAACACCATCCTCATGCTTTACATGTTGTAAATAATGAGTTTCTCAGCACAAAGATCTCCCATGGTGAATGTTTTTCTCCCAGATCCCACCAACTCCAGGACCAACTCAGTTCCACCCACAGACAGAAGCTTCCAAAACCATCCTTCCAATGATTTTTTTTTTTTCTGTGATGTCTCAAAACACATTTCTGCAGGCTCCTGGGCTCTGCAGCAGTGTTTAGAAATGAGCTGATGCCATTCCAAATTGTTTGGGGCTCATATATGCTCTCTTTTGTGCACAAGATGGAATCAGGCAGAATAAAGACAACCCAGGGGATGTGTCTCTCCATTTACTTGTTCTTTCCTTCATTCTTAATCCACTGATTCGTGCCCAGCCTCATTTTAGATACATCCAACACTGAAGGTGGTGACCCTGAGGGATGGAAGAGGTGGAGTCTGGAGCCATGGAGTTCACCCACAAAAGATCTGCCCATTAAAAATCAAGAAATAAAACTCTTTACTAGAGGGTAGCAGCAGCAGTTTTCTTGCAAAGAGCTGCCACAAGGCAAGGCAAGGATGTGAGTGGACTTTCCCATGGATTTTGGTGAGCTAATCCTCGGAATGGATGAATGCCCAGTTTTCAGAGAGGCAGAGCGAATTCCGGAGAGGTGAAGTGACTTTGTGAGGGATGAAACGCTGGGAGTGCAGCTCCAGGCCTGCTGCCTCACAGACCACGCTCCCATACATCCCTTTTCCACGTCCTTGCTGAGGAGGAAGCTTTATCAAATGGAGTTTTTCTCTCCTGGCAGAGCCCCATGAAATCTGTGACGAGGAGAGTCTTGGCCCTGTGGTTTGGAAGGAGACGCCAGCCGGGGATGCTGCAGCTGTCCGGTGTCCCCGTAATGCCACCGGTAAGAGCGACTGTGTGGTGGGGAGGTGGTCCCACATCAGGGGATCCTTCATCCTTTGTGTCCTAGACGAGGAGAACCTGCTTGTGGGATGACAGGACAGGCACATGGACTTCCCTCCCTTTGTCCATGGCTAAATTTACTCTGTCTGGCTTTCTGTTTTCACTGTTAAGCAGAAACCTCTTAGTTGTTACTGGATAATCTGAGGTGGTTTCCATCCATCCACTGCCTGGTCCTGTGAAAAATTTGAAATTAAGGAATGCTGGGATATGTTCTCTCCATTATCTACAAAGAGCTTTGCAGAGCAGGTAGAGCTTTAGAGTCCTCTGGATTTGGGTGTTGTAGTTCTCTCCAGTGGCCATAAAAGCAGCTGCTGTATGAGAGCAGGAAATCTGAATTCCGTTGTCCACTTAGAAACCCTAGCACCTCTCTAAAAATTCCTTTGAGCTGTCAAGTTGATGGTCTGATGGTTCTGGTGTAAACTGAAAGGATATGGTGTTACCTACTGTTCCCTAAGGGAGTGGAAGGCGGTGCAGAGAAGGCTCCAGAAGCGATGCTGGTGGTGGGATTTGTCCTCAGCTGGGTGTTCCTCCCTGCCAGGCAGGAACAGAGCTAGTGGCAGCAGTGTCAATGATGTGTAAAGGTTTGATTTTTTGTGTGGGATACAGACAGCCTGGCACAGTCAGCATCACCCCAATGCTGTCCTAGAAGGGCTGTGTCCAAAGAAAGGTCAGTGAATCATTTGGCAGCATCAGTGGGACTGCAGACCCAGCAAACCTGATTCTCAGAGACTTTCCAAGTGGCATCATGATGGCTGGGACAGGGTGATCCCTCTCCCTTTCCTCCTCCCTGATATGTCTGTTCTCTGAACATCTCTGATGTTCCCCCACATCACAAGGCATGTGATTATCACTGCAAACCCCTCTGTGGATTGGAGCTGAGGGGAGGCCTGGGGGAGGACTGGAAGCAGCTTTCAGAGAGTTTCAGCTGATGCAGAACTGGTGCTGTCGGGTGTTTATTCCCCTCCAGGCTGCGTGGGCAGCACAAGCCCTGCTTCAGTTGCAAGTACCAGACCAAACCACCTGGGGAGGCTCGTGGGGCTTCCCAAGCCAGGGAAAATGCTGCCATCCAAGGCAGGAGAAGAAACCTTCCCTTCACCCTGAGTAGCCATGTGCAATTTGTTAATTTTTGTTTTCCTGCCCCGTTCCTTCTGCTGCTCTGCAGTAATAAAAGGCAGGAGAAGGAAATAAAGATAATCCTTTCTATGGGCTTGTTCGGGCATCTGCAGGTGCCTCTGATGCCCTTTGTGCTGGTAGCTGAGTCTGGAGTGGTGCACTGACCAGTTCTGGGTGATCTCCATAGAATCAGGAAGGTTGGGAAAGACCTCTAAAATCCTCAGGTCCAACCATTAGCCCAGCACTTCCAGGCCCACCACTAAATCATGCCCTCAATGCCACATCCACACGTATTTTGAACACTTCTATGGATGATGATTCCATCACTTCTCTGGTCAGCTTGTCCTGATGCTTGACCACCCTTTCAGTGAAGAATTTTTCCTTCATATCCATTCCAAATCTTCCCTGGCACAACTTGAAGCCGTGTCCTCTTATCCCATGGCTTCCTACTCATGACAAAAGACCAGTCCCCATGAATGCTTGGCCTTTCATCCTGTCCTCACTCCTATGTTTGTTTCTTTCATTCTTCCAGGGCTGATCCTTCGAAGATGCATCTTAGATGAGGAAGGCATCGCTTACTGGGAGCCTCCAACGTACATCAAGTGTGTTTCTATTGATTACAGGAACATACAGATGATGGTAAGGCAGCCCCACTGCTCAGCTCAGCAGGTTTGGGATCCTCCCCAGTAATTGTTACGTGGCTATAGTTACAAAAAGAGAAGGAAAAAAAAAAAAAAGAGTTTCCAGCTCTGCCTTGATTTTCTCTCACTGTTCTCTCTGCTTACCTTGTGATGCACTCCATGGGCAAGGAGTGGTTCCTTTCAGGATATTTTAATGTCCAGCTTGGCAGAATCTGACTTCTTCTAGGCTTTTCATATCACATTATCATTCAGTATCACTATCACTTTTAAATAAGCATCTTATTTCTGTTAAATTAATTGTTATGAGCAATTTCTGCTGGTCTCCTGTGGTCTTTAGGAGAACTGATCTCTGCTGTTCATGGTAAGGTACAGGAGAGTCCCGAGTCTGCCCTAAAATAATTACAAATTGGTTGTAAGAAATCAAGGTTTTGGGGAAAAATGTTCTGTTAGGCTGTGAACAGAAGAAACTTTGTAGTAGGATAATTTCTTCTTTGTGGGCAAAACAGAAATTTTCAGTTCTCTCTCATTTTAGAACCATTTTGAAGACAATTTAGAATCTATCACTCTTTTCTATCATTTAAAAAAATATCAGAGGCTCTCAGGTCAGCAAAGATTGTCAGATGCATCTGATTTGCACTCTGAATTGTGAGGGAGGTCAAAAACCTTCCCTGGCAGCTCCTTCACTGAGCTCATTAACTCGACTTTGACTGTCCCTAAAAGCATTTCCCACATTTCTTTTCCGTTTCTCAGACCAGGGAACACCTTGCCAAAGCTCAGCGTGGGCTGATGGGAGACGGGCTGTCAGATGTGCTCCAGAACCTTGTGGAAATCTCCCAGGATGGGACCAGCTACAGTGGGGACCTGCTGTCCACCATGGATGTACTCAGGAACATGACAGAGATCTTCCGTAGGGCTTATCACAGCCCGACTTCTGGGGATGTGCAGGTGAGCCCAGGTGCATTTCCTGGAGCCCAAGGCTGGGTTTAGAGAGGTGCCCATGCTCAGGGCTCCAGGTTTGGTTACTGGTACTGATTGTGGCTGATACAGTGCTGATGAAAATCAGATTATTATTTTTCCCAACATAAATGTCTTTCTGTATTAACAAACTCGCCTTTTGAGGTGGTTCTTCCTTGGTTTATAAATTAAGAACTTGAAAGCCAAGGTCACTCTGGACTATTTCAACCTGATAGCACTTCACTGCAGAGCCTAATTGATATGAGAACATTATTTGGTGGGGATTTCAGGCTAATGACTCGAGGTAAAACAATCCTGTGGCATTGGGTACCTGGGTGTTGATGCAGGGGAATATCACCGTGGTTTCTTATCCCAGGGTTTTACTTCCAGCAGCTGCAGAGCAGCCGCAGGATACACCCTTGGGATGGGTCATCACCTCATGACTTGAAACATTAAACTGATCCTGCAGGATCTGCAGAGAGTGGTAAAACTGGAGAAAAAAATCAATAGTCTGAAATTTCCTGTCTCCTTCTTCCTCATTGTGTGCTGCAAAGGTCTTACCATGGACAGCAGCCTCTTGATCCATCTCTGCATCTCCTGCCTGGTCACAAGCTAAAGGGGATCCTGTGGGATCCATATATTGGAAACAACAGAAATAATAGAAAAAAAGATATGGGAGGATTTATGCAATGGAAGATCACCTGCTTTTAACCAGTTTCTGACAAATATTTACCATATCTGTCCTCAAAAGTCATCAGGAGTGGATACAAGACCTATTCCCAATTCAGTGCCTTAAAGATACAGTAGTTAAAGTGTGGGAAAGAGGTCTTATTAAAACACATTTTGCTATTAACATCCTTGGGCACCTGTGAAATGCTCTGGAACCTTTTGGGAATGGGATCATGAGAACGCTTTTGGAGCATGTTTAGATCTCATGTGTCCCTCCCACACCACTGTGACCTTCCCAGCCTGGGCAATGTTTCATAACAACCTCTTCTGTCCTCTCCTGTCTCCCTTCTCCAGAACTTCGTCCAGATCATCAGCAACATTTTGTCAGAGGAAAACCGGGAAAAATGGGAGGAAGCTCAGCTGGTATGAACCTTCAGCACCTTCCCTGGGAATAAAGAGGCTGTGGGCACCGGGTTAAGCCATGAGGAGGGGAATTTCCAAATGTCTACATGACCTCCTGAGAAGAGCTTAGTTCCAGGCTGAGTCACATTAAAGGAGTCACTCAGGGAGCCACAGGATCCCAGCTCTGAGCCAAACTCTCTGCATGAAGGACAGTGAAATGCTGGTGGTGTAAACCAAATTTGGGATGGATTTCAGGGGTCAGCCTTGGTTTGGAGTTGATAATCCTGATGTCTTCCTGTAATTCCACTCTTTCCTCTTGCCAAGATAAAGAAGTAGGATCACATGGCTTTGAGTTCCTGTCTGAAGTGATGCAGGACAGGAGAGATTTTCAGAGCTGTGGTCTGCTCAGCTGAGCTTCTGGGTTCAGTTATGTTTTATTTCTCTCCTGTCCATGTTAGGGATCCTGCTCAGTCCTGAACTCCTCTTTCCTGGAAGTGTTCAGAGCCAGGTTGGATGGGGCTTTGAGCAAGATGTGGAAAGTGTCTTGCCCATGGCAAGAGTTAGGAATTAGATGAACTTAAAAGTCCCTTCCAACCCAGGCCATTCTAAGATTCTATGAATAATTCTGTAGCTGAATTCTCAAGTATTGGGGAATGGCGTTGTTGCCTTTTCTCTCTGTGTATTATTTGTCCTTTGTCTTGTGTGCTCTCTCTGTTGTGGAGCTGTGTCACACCTATTCCTGTGTCCCTTTACCATTCCTTTTGTGAGCTGTTGCTCTTGCAAAATTCCACCAAAAGATTTGGAAACAGCAAATAATCAAGGAAAAAAATCACTCAACATGCAAAGCAACACCAGAGTACAGTTATCTTCACACCAACCGGCAAAGTCCTCAGGGAAAACCTTCTTAAAAAGTGCTGGCATATTTTTTGAAAGTCCAGAACATGAGACAGGGACTCAAAAATATTTCCTTCATGCAACAGCAATTCTGTCAGGAGATGAGCAGTCCTTCTCCTTCTCCTTCTCCTTCTCCTTCTCCTTCTCCTTCTCCTTCTCCTTCTCCTTCTCCTTCTCCTTCTCCTTCTCCTTCTCCTTCTCCTTCTTTCTTTCTCCTCTCCTCTCCACTCCTCCCTGATATCTTGTGCCTTCCTGTTGAATTTGAATGAGGGTTTCGGGGTCTGTCTCTGGGTAGGACAGAGAATCTGGTCATGGTCCTGGCAAGGTGGCCCTGCTTGAGCCACTGGGTTGAGTCAGATGGCCTCGGAGGCTCCTTCCAAATTTAACTACACACTGATTCTGTGATTTTCTGCCCAAATACTTGGTCTCAAGCCTCCAGGTGTGTGTAGGTATTTCAGCACGGAGCAGAGGAGACTGTCAGGTTGTCATGGCAACAGGGAAACCCTGTTGATCCCCTTAAAAACAGCTCACTCTGTGTGGCCCTTGGTTCCCAGTGGCTTTCCCACTGCAGTCTGCTCCCTGCACCTCCAGGCAGGCACAGCCCAGCGTCACCGTGACCTACACGTGGATTGGGAACATCACAGGGAGAATGTTTTCCTGGTGTGTATTCCAGTGGGAATTGAGATGACAGCCCAACACCACGACTTTAGGACACAGAAATCTCTGTGAACAGGACGCCAACGGAGGTTTTAGCAGTCTCTGTGTTTCTCCCTCGAAGCTGCTGGACCAAAATCACACCTTGAATTTTGTGAGATCAACCATTTCTTTTAGAACAAAGCCTTTGGCTCCCAATTTGCTCATTAAAAATAAACCCAACTTCATTGCAGTCTCACGTTCCAATGTCCTGTGGCCCCTGAGGCAGAAAGATGTTGTTCAAGGAAAATGAAAACTAAAACAACACATAAAGGTATTCAGAGAAGGGCTGCAATGATTTTTGAAGAGCCTTTGTCAACCATTATGTGATAAAACCTAAAATACAGCATCCAGTGTAGCCTGGATTTGGTTTGACCTTGTGATTTCAATCTGTAATGGAATATAAAAATGTGCAGCTAAAAATAGCATCCTCACTCAGTTCTCCTCCTTCTGTGCACACCTGCTGTACTGGCAGGACTTTTCAATCTCATCCTGAGACCATTTTAGTCTTATCAAGATTCCTTGGATAGGCAGAGAGAGAGACACGCATGGCCACCCTGTGGGCTCCTTGCCCACGCTCTCCAATGCTCAGCCTTCCTCCTGCCTCCTTCCTCTCCTGCTTGTCCCCAGCTGTCCCTCCAGATCACTCAGCCACCCCAGATCAGTGTCTGGATAATGGTGAGGAAGGGAAAACACTGTGGAAGTGGTGGAGAAGGAAAAGAAGAGGAGCTGAAGTGCTCTTCTTCAGCCTTTCGTGGCATTTGCTAAGCCCCCATGTGCTTTGAGGAGAAGACAGGAAGTCATCACAATCCAATTGCTTCCAAGTGGATTATAGTTCATGGAATCTGTCACTGGAAAACTGGTTATTGTTTAATGGCCCTGTCTTAAGTTGGCAAAGTACAGGTAAAGAAGAGTCAATGCCAATGTCTTTATCAATGGGGAAAAAACAGGAGAGAAATAAAAGGCAGAGAAACTCCAGGACAGCCCAGGACCAAGGACTTGATGGTTCAGAGGGTGAGATCCTGACAACAAAACTGGAAAGGAGAAAAGGGAGAGGTCCTGACAACAAAACTGGAAAGGAGAAAATCAGGCTGGCTGGGATTCAGCATTAGACCACAACTGTCCTTTGGTGTAGCTGCTTTCAACAGAGGGAGTTGGAATGAGATGATCTTTAAGGTCCCTCCCAACCCACATCATTCTGCATTTCTGTGATTTTATGAAAGAAGATGGGTAGGTTATTCTCTTCTCCAGAGAGTCTTCAATATTTCCATTTGCCCTCCACCCTAAATTCTACCAATCTGAGTGTCACATTATCATTTTGGCCTTTTTCTTTTTCTTTTTCTCTTTTTCTTTTTCTCCTTTACCTTTTCATTTTCCTTTTTCTTCTTTTTCTCCTTTTCCTTTTTCTATTTTCTTCTTTTTCTCCTTTTTCTTTTTCTCCTTTTTCTTTTTTGCTTTTTCTTTTTCTCCTTTTTCTTCTTTTTCTTTTTTCTTTTTCTCCTTTTTCTTTTTCTTATTTTTCTTTTTCTTTTTTCTTTTTCTTTTTCTTTTTTTTCTCCTTTTTCTTTTTCTTTTTTTCTCCTTTTCCTTTCCCCTTCCCTTTCTTGTTCTTTTTCTTGGCTTCCTCCTCCACAGCTCCACAACAGTCCATTATACTCAGCATATGCTCCCAGTTCACGTGTGAGGGCAGAAACCTTTTCCCACAGAGAAGCTCCTGCTGTTCTCCTCAGGATCTGATCCACCCAAAACTCCTCCTCTCTTTGCAGATAGGGCCAAACGCCAAGGAGCTGTTCAGGCTCGTGGAGGATTTCATTGATGTCATCGGCTTCCGCATGAAAGATTTCCGGGATTCCTACCAAGTCACAGACAATCTGGGTGAGTTCACTGGCGCTCCCCACATCGGGGAGAGACCCCCAAAAGCTTTTAATTACTGTGCAATGTGGACAACCTGGGCTGTGGGGATGGGGAGGAAGGAGGGGAGGCAGCAGGTGGCGGGACATTAGAAGGTCTGGGGGAAGACATGGGCGGGCATAAATACAGGGTGGCTTTTCTCCAGAGAAGTTGGGATTTCATGAGGAAGAAGAGATATCCACAGAGAGATCTGAAAGATACCTACCAAATGGAGAACAGATGACGAACTGGGAAGAATAAGACTCTTTCTTTTATTTTTGAGCACAAGAACAGCCCAGCAGCCAATGGAGGCGGTGAGCAAACAGCAGGCAGTGTTTGACTGATGCTGTGTGCACAAACGCAGCGTGGAACTTGTTGCCAGAGGAGGTTGCAGAAGCCAAGAAGTACAGATGGGTTCATGATGGGATTAGGGAAGTGCATAGAAGAGAGGTCCATTGGTGCCTGTTGAAGTTGATGATCTGGATGCAGCCAGGAGCTGAGGAAATCCTGCTGATTGCTGGGAGGACAAACCAAGAGATGTCTTGTTCTTTCTCACACTTCTTATCAGCTGCTGCTGGCCACTCCTGGAGCTAAGGTGCTGGAGCAGACTGTCCTCTGGCAGATTTAATGCAGGCAGGGCCCTTTCAGCACAGCACAAGCCCTTGTGTCTTCTTTCATGAATAGACATTTCCTCAAGAGAGCCTCACTCCTGTGGCTCCCAAGATCCAATCTCTCTGATTTCCCACTAATGCTCCCCATGTTTTCTGGAGCAAATGTGGAATTTACTGAAACTAGTTTCACTTACTGGTTTTATTTCTCGCTTCTCCCCAGTCCTTGGCATTCACAAACTGCCTGCAAACGCAGCAACAGACATCACCTTCCCCATGAAAGGCTGGAGGGGAATGGTGGACTGGGCCAAGAACTCAGAGGACAAGGTCACTATCTCCAAGAGCATCCTCTCTTCAGGGCTCTCAGGTAGGCAGCACAGCCAACACAACTTTTTCCCTTCATTTTCTAAGAACGTTTCCTTCTGTTTGCCTGGTCTTCAAATCCTCTTTGAGATCAGCTGGATTTGCTCACAAATGTTTGGGCATCAAACAGCACTGATGAGTGCAAATAAGGCTTTTAAATATGGCCTGGCTAAGAGTTCAAACTAAACTCCTCACAAAAGTTCAGGGGCAGGTTCAGTACCTGGGTGTGGATGCTTATCTTTCCCTAAGGAAGCAGGAAAAGTTGGCAAACATTGCTTTAGGTGCCGTCCAAGCCTGGATTCAGACCTGATGGAGCCATCTGAGGGTGAATAGCTGGGAGTCAGCAGCTCAGGCTGAGCAGCTGATGGCTCCAAGTCTGCTGCTTGGACAAGCTTTGATAGATCTGGGGATTTATGGCCCTTGTGTGAAATTTCCTGCCCCCAGAAATGAAATTCAGAGGCATTTATCACTGAGGCTCCACATCAGGGCATGGATAGGAGCCCCAGCATGGAGGTGATGCCTCAACCATGCTGGCCTCACTGCCAGATCTGGAAAAACACCTGGAGGTTTCTGGGATGGTCTAATGGATGAGAATCCCTGGAACCAACACTCTGCTCATCTTTTGGCAGAGAACATTTGGAAGGATTGATCCCTGAGTTCCCAAAAGCAGGACCCTGAATTGGGCTGATTGCTGGGAGATGATGGGATTTGCTTTTGTCACTCATGGCTTTGAGAGCTGCTGGCTCCCCCTTCCTTGGGACAGAGGCTGGAGACTGAGTTGTTGCTACAAAAGACCTTTGGCCTCGAGTTGACACACCAGGACCTTTTATCATGGGCCTCCCTGCCAGGGATGGCATCAGCCATCACCTCTGCTTGGGAAACCTGAGGCCAGGAACAGTTAAGTGCCACCCCCAAGGGTAAACAGTGAGTCACTGGCAGAGCAAGGACCATGTCAAGCTCTCCTTGTGCTTTGTTGTGGCTTGCAGACAACGTGAGCTCCCTGGGAGAAGCGTTATCCCTGCTTGTTTGGTGGTGCCTTCACCTTTTGAAATCTTCAATCACTTGTTGGAAAAATTGTTGGACCAGACCGAGACAGAGCTGATCCTGCTCTGAGGCTGAGGGCTGTCCCAAAAGTATCCAGCTCCCCCTGGAGCTGTTTTCTAGATTTCTGTTGGAAGCATCCTCACACAGATCTGCACCAGGGCCCCGAGCTGTAGTGACTGAGCAAACAAAACATGACATCCTCCCCAAGGAAACCGCTTCCAGTCAGTGCTCACCTCTCCAGGGTTTCCTGAGTACCACCCAGGGCTCGTCTGCCTCTCTTTCATTCAGTATCTTGTGCTGGTGGTGTAGTTTTTGAGAGGTTACTCACTTACTCCAGCAGAAATCCACCTCCATTAGTTTTGATCCTCACTTTTCTCTGGGAACAGGAGTAGCTTTCCTGAACAAAGTGATGAAGACAGGAAGCTTCGTGAGACCAAATCCAAACCCCCTCACTGCTGGGAGCTGACTTTGAACAGTTGATTTCGATAGTCCAACACCGATTTATGCAGTTGGGTGACAAAATTGCTCTGCAAGGCTGTCTGTCAGTCTCTCCCTGTTATGTGCTCACCAGCTATCCCAATTTGATGATGAGAAAGACGGACATGCAGAGCTGTGCCTGTCCTGCAGTGATGGAGCAGACACACTGTCAGCTCAGGTTCAGTACAAGCTACCAGAGAAGCCCCACCTGGTGCTTTCCCAGGCTTCTTCAGCATTGCTTTCCACCCAGCCCCTTGCTTTTGCTCCCCCCATGAAAATCCAGCCCCGGGGCTGCCTCTGCTGCTCCTGGTTTATCAGAGGAAGTTCTGGCTTTTTGCAGCTGGGCCCCGTGAGGTAGTGGAGGAGGAAGAATAGGAGGAGAAGGAGAAGGAGGTCAAGTGACATGCCCAGAGGTCACACAGATGATTCAGAGGCTCATCTGGATCTGCTGCAGCCCCCAGAGGCAGTGCATGAGTTTTGGGGTCAGAGCAGGAGCACTGGGACCTCTCCCCTTCCCGCTGGCCTTGTCGGCCCCGGCACAGCTCTTCTCTCTGATGGCCTGATAGCTGTGGACGGCTCCAAAGGCCTCGAGGTGGCTGCAAGAGACCTTTCCCCCCCTGCAGATTTGTCTGCTGTGGTGCTGTCAGAGGAATTTGGGGGTTTCTGAATGGGGTGGCATCATTTTTGGAGGGGTGAGCCTTGGTGAGGGCAGAAATCTGGGATGCTGGGTCACCCCAAAGGTGCTGAGCCCTCCCTGTAGTGTCAGCAGCCGCTGCATCCCACTGCAGTGATGTTGGCATTGGCCATGCCCCAAAAGAGAGCCCTCCACCACTGGCCACGCTCCTCCAGAGCCCAAATCCTGCCCCTGGGTGTCCCGTGGGGACAGCTGCCACCCTGATTGTCTCAGTGCTGTTGTCTCCTTCCCCCTCCTCTGCTGTCCTGCAGTGTCAGACGACTCCTCCGTCTTCGTGGTTGGGACCGTGCTGTACCGGAACGTGGGCAACATCCTCTCCCTGCAGAGGTAAGAGGGGCTGCCTGGATGGGGAGCAGCTGGGGAATCACCAGGATGATCCCTCTGGCTGCAGAGCACTGGTACAGGGAAAAGTAGAGCTCACTGGGTGCAATGAGACAGATTGTGATCTGCAGTGGGAATATTTTGACCCCCGTATTCAGGTGGGGCCAGGCTCATGCATCCCGTGCCGGAGGTGCAGGAATGTTTTCCCCATCCACGTGCAGACACGAGGGGAAGAAGCTCAGTGCTGCTGTCCCAGACTTCCCTGCCACCCAGGAATGGAACCCCACCCTGCCCTCCTGGTCAGGAGGGATTTCGGCGGCCCTGACAGATGGGGATGCTCAGCTGCCCCGATCTTCCCGAGCTGCCGGAGAGCTGCCAGCCACACTGAGCCCTGGAGAGCGGCACGGCAGAAGACAGGCTCGGGGAGGAGAGAGGGGAGCAGAGCACGCCTGGCTGCACATGTCTGCCGTGTTCCCAGCGCTGCAAACTGCCTCGGGCACCAAAGCTTTTGTGTTCAGCACTCCTTCCCTTTCCTTCGCTTCTCTCCCTTTTCCTCTCCCTCTCTTTTTTATTTTTTTTTTCTCCCCAAGACTGGTACTGAGGCAGTAAATTAAGCATCCTAAGGCACCTTCTAAATCTGTTCTGCACTGATTAGCGTGAGCCCATTTACCATAAACACCAGGGCATCTCTCCTCACCGATAATCATTTAAATACCTCCAGATTTAGCACTGGCAATGGCAAAAGAGCTCCGAGTGAGTGCAGAGAGGAATTAGCAAGTCAGCCAACTGCATTCTGTAATATCTTCCATTACAGCAGTGGGAATTAGATCAGAAGGGCAATAAACATCATTGGCTCAAATGATCCAGTGGTATTTCAGCTTCCTCTGGCCAAGCAGGGAATGAGCTCTGATAACCAGCAGCTGCGGCAGCCACAGCCTCTGAGCAGCGTTCCCACAGGAGAGCTGATTTAAGATGTTCCTTAATTAAAGGACAGTCCCTCTTTAAAAAAAAATCTCGAGTCTTGAATCACCTGTGGAGAGTCAAAGAAAAAAAATATAAAAAAATTAATGAAAGCAGCAGCAGCAGTAAAACAGCTCTTACTTCAGCGCCGTGCAAATGGACACAGCACTAAAGAGAACGTTGTGAAATAACCAGGTAGCTGGCTATAGGTAAAAAATATTTCTGACCACTGAGGAGAGCAGCTATTCCTGGGTACACATAAGAAATACAGACCCACTCCCTGGATTGGACCGCTCTGATTCAATGCAGAGTGATTTTTCTAAGAAGGGGGAAAAAAAAAGTAGATTTAACTCAGCAAACTGCACCAGCTGAGCTGTTCCTAATTGTCCCAATTTACCTCCCCCAAGCAGCAATTCTGTCTCTGAGTCACACATTTCTCTGTCCCCTCGGATCCAGAGAGCCCAGCGGATCTTGGCAGCTGCGACAGTTGGGATGGGCTGCACACAGAACCTGATTTTCCAAGCCAGGGAGGTGATGGAGGCGCTTGGTCCCAGCTGGGTTGTGCTGCAGAGGACACAGCACAGAGCCGCCAGCCTGGCTCTCCCCGTGTACCCTGTGGTCACAGCTCTCTGCACACCCTCGCTGGCCACTCAGGAGCCCTCTGAGCTCCTCTGGACTCCTGCTCCAGCCAGATCTCCGCGTGTTTTGTTTTACTCCCAGAAGCTGGGCTGCAATGCGCTCGTAGGAAAGCGACTCCTCTTCCTCCTGAAAGACTCCCCGTGACACCGAGTCCTTCGCCACCCCCGACAAGCTGCTGCTTAATTACCTTCTCTGCCAGGAGCCTGCCTCTCTTTTTAAGGCTGAATTTGTCTGGCTTTCACTTCCAGGCACTTGGCCTTTGGATGGGTGACTGAAAAGCCCCCCTCGTGCGAGGAACTCCCAGACAAGCCTTCCAACAGAGAAATTTTGTTTGTTTCCCTGCACCTGGATCAATTTTGTGTCTCTGTTTTGAGCTCCCTTTGCTGTTTCTCCCTCTCAAATTGAAACTGAACCCAACAGCACAGTGGAAACCACACAAGGAGGGCACAGACAGAAGTTCTTTGCTTCATCTCAGAGGAAGTGATCTTAAAAATCATCCCATTCCACCCCCCTGCCATGGGCAGGGACCCCTTCCACTATCCCAGGCTGCTCCAAGCCCCATCCAACCTGGCCTTGGACAATTCCAGGGAACGGGGCAGCCACAGCTTCTCTGGGCAACCTGTGCCACCAACCTCTGAGCGAAGAATTTCCTCGCAACATGTAATCCAAACCTCTCCTCTTGCAGTTTAAAACCATTCCCCCCCTGTGCTATCATTATTTACCCATGTAAAAAGTTGCTCTCCATTTTTTTATAAGCCCCCCTTCAACTTCTGGTTGAGCTGTGGCTTCTTGGCCACTGATCACCCTTTGAGGTCTGCACACCGCTGGTTTCTGTGTTCCAACATCTTGGCACGCTGAAAAATCAAATTCTCTTTCTGTCTGTGGTTGCTGCATCGATTCTCACCTGCTCCCCAGCCTCCACAGGGAGGTTTTGGTGTCATCCCTGCTGCTCACGCGAATATTCAGCAGCACTGACCCAAGGACTGACCCTTACAGACACAGCCTTTAATGAAGACATGCACTGGTGGTTACCTTTCAGCAGATCCCATTTTTAGCTTCTTACAGCTGCCTACTCCCATTGATTTACTCCTTTACTTTTCCTCTGTAGGGTGATAGTTGGGCTTTGCCGCTTCATTCTTTTTTTTTTTCTTATTGTTTAGGTCTTTTTAAAAGGAAAAAATATATTTTTGATTTTTTTTCTTCCCCTGTTAAATCAGTGTTGTTGTTCCCTCTAGTGTTGGTGGAACAGTGACTCTTTGAGCATCCACTTACACATCCAAGCACAATTCCAAATATTTTTCCTCTTTTTTTTTTTTTCTTTAAACCCTATTTTCTTTTAGCTGCTGTTCAGCAAGTATAAATCTTTCCCACCTAATTATTTTTTTTAATAAGAAAGATAAAATCCAGAGAGAAGACTGAAAGATTTCAGCAGTACCTGCAGATTTGGTGAAGATTTGGATAAGGAAGGATTTCCTTTCTCCATGGATGCCACAGGGGCTGGGAGCAGCCTGATCTGGATCCACCACTCCGCTGCTAATTCCCTCATGGCAGCAGCTTCAGCTGCTGCTTGTGAGAAGTTTAGCTTATTTAAATACCAATAAACTGCAGAAAAATGAGGAAACCCTGTTATTCACATGTTCAGTGTCCAGGGAAGTGCCTACAAAGAGTTTGGCTTTCTAGGAATGGAAGTTATCTCCTGACTTATTGCCCCTCCCAAGGGCCAAATCTCCCAGGGCTGCCAGATTTATTGCAATATTTGTCTGGGCACAGGCATTTAGACATCTTCATGAAAGGTTTGGCGTTTTTCCATTTGTTTTTGGTCCTCAGGGAATGAAGATACACACCAGTGCCTCCAGCTAGGATTGTCTGTTGCCCCATGGATAAGCAACCACGCCTCAGCCTCACTGCAGTGCAGGCTATGCCAGCCTTGGAGAGGCAAAACGGGATTTTTTTTTTTGGAAAACACATGAAATCATGGAATATTCTGTGCTGGAAGGGACCTACAAGGCTTACTGTAGTCCAAACAAGCTCTGTTTTCTCGTGGCAGGGACAGAAAATGAACCCAGGAATGTTTTGTTTCTGGGATAGATACAGACTCCAGGTCCAGTTTCTTTTAGGTGTTGATGAGGTTCATAAAATGGTTTGATTTTGGAGGGATACATGTGGATTGGCTGTGAGGGGAGCCCAGAGGGCAGAGGATGGGGTCCAGCAGCAGCAAATGTCTTTGGGGGTATTTTATAATGATGGGGTCATCCCCTTCTGCTCTGTGTACACCAAACCTTGCAGCGCCAGTGATGGTTGTCATGGTATTCCCTGCTCCACAAAAATCCCTCTAAAACCTCTCTTTCCCCTCTCCTTCCCAGGAATAGCACCGTTCTGAACTCCAAAGTCATCTCTGTGACTGTGAAGCCATTCCCCCGGTCTCTCCTCACTCCTCTGGAAATCGAATTCTCCCACCTGTACAACGTAAGTGGTTCCTGGGAACCTGCCCCATCCCACAGCTGTGTTTGCTTCTCTGGGGCAGGAATGTGCTGGTGCAAGGAAGGAGGTGGTTTTGATGGGCTCCTGACATCTTTTTGCTGGTGCAGGACCCTTCAATCTTCCCCAAAATCAAAAAACAACTTCATTTCCAGAGCAGCAGGAGGGTGACACTGCTGGCACAGGGCCATGCTTGTCCCCAGTTCACACCATTTCACTGTGGGCATCATCACACAGGAATAACTGTGCACTCATTAAAATAACTCGATGTAACAGTGGTCTTCCTTGAGGAGGGAAAGACAGGGGGAAAGGTTGTTCCCATTAATTCTGGAATATTACTGTTGTCCTCAATGCTTTCCAAGGCAGGCAAAAATCCCCTTCAGGTTCCTCTGCTCAACCCTGAGCAGATTTATGGCATGGACATTTACATACCCCAGGGCCTGTCCCTGTGGAGATTAGATGCCCTCCTGAGGCTCTACAACATGAATCTTAAGATCTGTTGTGTCTTTGGACTCTCCTGGAGGGATTTTCCAAAGCTGTCTCAGACAGCTGGGGTCTGAGGCAAACCTCTTCCAGGGGGTTTAAACACACCTGGCCCCCTCCTGCAGGGCTGTGGTTTTGTCCCACGGAAGCAGAGGCTGTATTTGATCCACTTTCCAGAAGGGAGCAGCAAAAGGATTCTGTGTGAGAGGAGGGATGAGGAGGAATATCCGTAGGTTGAGTCAGGAGAGAGGCAGAGTCAAATCCCTCTGCAGTGGTCATGAATCAGAATAAACCAAAGCTTGGATTTTTCTGGCTTTTCCATCCCAGGGTGGCAAAAGCCATTCCAAGGATTTGAGATCCATGACAGCTCATCTGGTGTATCCCAGACACCCCATCCTTAGAGCAGTGGGAGGGGTGTTACAGGCCCCACATTCTTCATTCCAGTCCAGACACTCCACAAACAGCATGACGCTGATTTGTTTCTATTTTCCCTTTCTTGTCTCCTGGCAGGGAACCACCAACCAGACCTGCATCCTGTGGGATGAAAATGATGGGTGAGTTCTGTGGGTTTCCCTTTACTCTCACAGGTCTGTTTGCTTTTTTGGGTGAAATGATCACAATTTTAGCAGTGATGTGTCAGTTCTTGCCTTCTTTACTCAGTATGTTCTTCACCCTGGTGGGGAGTGCTTTCCTCCTTCACACGTGCACTGCTTCTCTCTGAGATGTCTTCTAGTGCTGTTTTGGATTTTTCCACAAAAAGGATGCATGAACTGGGACCCAGGACTGTGGAAGTGTTCAGATTGAGCTCAGCAAATCTGTGCTTGGCCCTCTGCAGTGCTCACCCCAAATCATGCACTGTAAGGAGAGTAACGAAAAATCAGTGCAAATATGGCCTGTGGAGGTGAAGTTCGGGTGATATGAACTTTATATTGTGCTGCTGTGACATAGAAAAATGATTTTTGCCAGAATTCCAGTGATGACTGGTGCTGTTCAGCAGGGTTTGAGTGATGTGGTTGTGGCCAGCAGGGAAAAAAAGCAATCCCAAGTTAGCATGAAGAGTTGGGACCATAAATCCCATATGGGGAGTAGTTGTCAAAGGATGTGCATCTTGGAAAGGAAAAAAAAGTCCCACTCTGAAAGTGAGGTCTTAAATCCTGAGTGAACTTGACAAGGATACAAAGTGTTTGATTTAAGGGTGGTTTTACTTCACTGACTTTTGCATCTCAGTTTGAGCACCTACCTGGCTCCTCTTCTGCTTGCAGTAAGTTCCTCTCCTTGAGATCTCAGACATTTGGCACATGCCCCTGCATTTATTATTATTATTTATTATTATTACCAGCAGCATCTGAAAAATGATTCCATTCTTGTCCTTTTATGCTCCATTAAGTAGCGTATGCACAGAGAGGCAGGCAACATATTTACACTCAGCTCACTTCATGTTGGTCTGGGATTAGTTTGGCATCTCTGAGTGGCTCCAAAGCAAAGCTTTGAGGGTCTCCCTGCTTGTGGAATCACACCTGTGTTGTAGCCCAGGGCAGAACTGGTCCCTCTTCTGGTGAAAATTAACATTAGAAGATGGTTGAGACACAGGTGGACTTTTAAGCAATTATTAAAAGGGGGTTTTATAATATTTTGTGTGTGCCAAAGAGCTTGTGGGTCAGCACAGGGGGTTGGATTGGTGGGCAGGCTCAGGAGCTGGCCTGCTCTGCTAGATGTGTTGTTTCTCCATGCTGGAATGGAATTAAAGCACTTGTACAACAACCCAGTTTTGGCAAGTAAAGGCAGGAGCTGGAACCATTGCCCCTTTTGCTCTGCTCTCCATCCCATTGCTTTTGGCTTTCCAAAAGCACAGAGAAGGTTGTGTCCAGGAGCATGGAGATGTTTCCCTGCCCTGCTCAGACCTGGATTTAATTAGCTGCAGTCTGAGCATGAAAAGAGCAAAATCCAGTTTGGACGTGGCTGAGGGAGAGGGCTGCCGTTCAGGGTGGGTACGGGAATCTGTCAGAGCTGGCACTGAGAAGAAGGCACAGATGAAGGTTTGCCCAGTGCTGAGCAAGGACTGAGAGGTTTGGATGGCTTTTCTGAACTGGAGGCAAAGCAGTGCCCAGTTCAGCATCATCAGCTCTGCTGATCATCCTAAGAGAATGGTTTGGGTTGGAAGGGATCCTAAAGATCATCTCATTCCAACCCGCTAGACCAGGTCACTCCCTGCCCTGGGAGCTCTGGCTGCTCCACACTCTTCCTCCCAAGGCTCAGCAGCTTGTTGGGCTGCGGGTTGTCCCTCTGGGAGTGCAAGATGCTGAGATTCCTTTCAGTCCTTCATCCCTGCATGCTCACAGCACCAAAGAGTGGGAGCTAAGAGCTGAGCAGGAAATTTCTTGGCACCAATGCCATGGTTCAGTTTTCAAGGATGGATTCCAACCCCCCAGCAGATTGGTTGTGCAAATGTTTCTGCCAAACCTGCACTCTCCCCATGTTCAGGGCTTTTGGGGTGTGTGTGTACACGCCTGCAAGTGTTTGAAACCAACATTTGCAGTCTCGAGCAGCTGAAATGCCCCAGATCCTGATGTCAGCAGATTTTTGCTCGGACAATGTTCCAAAACTTAGAGCTGATCCGGCGAGCTCTGGCGAGGGGAGCTGCCAAGCTGTTTGTGCAATATTTTAAAAGCTGATTTGCGCAACATTTTAAAGCTGATTTGCTACCACTGCTGCCTCCTGGGAAAGTCTAAGGAAAGGCAAATTATGCAAACTCTGTTCCCCAGTCCTGACTGCTCACCTCGAACTTTAACAGCGCTCTGGAGCTGTCAGGGGGTTTGAATCACGATTTTGGGTAATTGTTTCCTGCTTGGAAGAAAAACTTTTAGGCTGCCCCCTGGACTTGTTGCCTGGTTTGTGGTAGAGGTCCTGATTGTTGACTCTGTGCCAGGAAACCCCGTGGTTCAGCCACTCTTTTGTGATTCCCCTCTTTGCTCCCATCTTCTCCTTCCTGCCACCTCTCCCTATGAACTGGGGCTTTTCCCACCCATCAGTCTCATAAGGTGGCTGTGCAAATGGGTGAAAATAAGGATGTCACATCCCTGGAAGTGTTCAGGATCAGGCTGGATGGGGCTTTGAGTAACCTGGTCTAGGGAAAAGTGTCTCTGTCCATGGTAGAGGGGTTGGAATGAAATGTTCTTGAAAGTCAAACATTTCTGTGATGCTGTGAAATCCCATTTCCCAGTTCTGAACAATTTCATGGATTTACAGCTTCATTTCCCTGCCTGTTCTCCACCCTGCTGCATTCCCTGCTTGCAGCCCAAGCTAGCCTGTTGTGGTGGTGCTTGCTCAGAAGATGCTGAGACCCCTCAAGATTCCTCTTTTGCCTCTCTCCATGTTCCTGCTCCAAGGATGGGTGGCCAGGTGGAGCCTCCCCGTACCCAGAGTCACCCAACCGAGGCTGCAGATCTTGGTGACCCAAATTCCACCTGATTCCAGTGGGCCAGCCTCTGGATTTAACCCCTTGCCTCCCGTGACTGAAGAGGTGCAGAGGCTGGAAACCTGGAGCAATCCTCCCATGAGAGATCCTGCCTGTTCCAGCAGCCACCTGAGCTTCCAATCCCACCCAGAGTATGCCAAAACCCTTTAAAGGCCACTTAAAATCCATGGGCTGTGAAGGGTTGGACTGTAAAATTGCAATTAGAACCAGACAATTATCTGGTGACCATGTGCTTCCTCAAAGATGGAGCTGTCGAACAGAGCACTTGGAAATAAAAAAAAAGAGGAGGAACCCTTGAGTGTTCATTCATTTGCATTTAGATGGATATTTAAGCTTGTACTATTAACAATGGATTTTTGATTTATTAATCCCAGACCCTCTGAGTGACTGTGAGGTTCGTGGGTGGCACCTCTGCCTCTCTTTTCTCATCCCCTTGCCCCCAGCTCCTCGTGTCATGAAATAAGAGGATTGAAGATCAGGGACTAATTTCTGTTGTGTTGGGTGCTGCGAGTGTGATTAATGAGCCTAGCACGGGCTGGGTAAATTGAAAGTTGGAATCAGAGAATGATTTGGGATTCTCTGGCTCTCCTCCAAGGGTATTCATCTGGAGTAATTATTGGCTGCTTAGCCCTGATGAAGTGAAAACCCAGGCAGGATCTGGTCTCCTGCTCCCTCTTTCTCCTGCTGGGACAGGAGAGGAGTTGATAAATGCAGCCATGGATGTGTGTTCGTGTTCTTGTGCTTCACCAGAGCTGTATTTCTCACCTGCCTTGCCCAGGTGAATAACAGGAATTTCATGTGGCAATGGGAACAAGGAGACAGAGCCAAGGTTTGTTACTGGTGGTGACAGCATCACTTCACAAAGGACGTTTTAATGAGGTTGGAGTCATTCTCTTCTCCAGGTAACAAGTGACAGGACAAGAGGAAACGGCCTCAAGGTGCACCAGTGCAGGTTTAGATTGGATTTTAGGAAAAAAATTCTTCACTGGGAAGGTGGTCAGGCTTTGGGAAAGGCTGCCCAGGGAAGTGGAGGAGTCACATGGAGTGCACATGGGAGCACCCAAGAAATGTGTGGATGTGGCACTTGGGGATGAGGTTTAGTGGCGAACACAGCGGTGCTGGGTGAAGAGTTGGGCTCGATGATCTTTTCCAGCCTTAACAATTCCACGATTCTGTGGTTGCAGAGGAAGATGTGGAGCTATTTAATGTTACAGAGCTGACCCACGGGGCTGATGAGTCTGGGTTCAGGCCATCAAAGCTGTGTTTGGGTGTTCTTTGAGCATGGGATCTGGTAAATGAGGAGGAGAGGTGTGAGATGGGAAGGGAGAGACAAGCCACAAGGTGTGGGATGTCTGACAAGGGCATGGAGTGATGGGACAAGAGGGGGATGGTTTAAAGTGAAATAAAGTAGGTTAAGACTGGGTATTAGGAAAAAATCCTTTGCTGAGGTTGGTGTTGGAACCCTGGAGACTGGGATGACCAGAGAAGTTGTGGCAGCCCTGGAAGTGTCCAAGGCCGGGTTGGGTGCGGCTTGGAGCAACCTGGGATAGAGGAAAGTGTCCCTTACCAGGGGAGGGAGTAGGAATGAGAAGATATTTCAAGTCCCTTCCAGCCCAAACCATCCTGTCATCCTATGAAGGGTCTGGAGAGGCAATGTGGGATCAGGCTGCAGCAGGTGAGCACTAATTGTCCCCTCCCTGGTGACAGCAGGGTCCAAACCAGCTGAGGGCTTTTGTTTTAGCCCCTGGTTCAGGAGAGAGAACCAGGCCATGCAGGTGTGAAATCCAACCCCAGACACACAAAGTGTGAGACCCAGCAGATCTGCATTTCCAGGGGAGCCCTCATCCCACAGGGAATGCCTGGCTCCATCAGGCAGCTCCTCTGTCTCATCGTAATTACTGAAAACTAAACATTATAATAACCAGGCACTACAATAACAGATCACCTTTCCAAACCTATCAAAATATTTGCATAAAAGCTTTTCTGCTCTCGGAAGAGAAAGCACCTCAGGAATCTGTGGTTTTAATTCAAGGACACCCTTGGCTTCCCTTGGGAAAGATCATCTGTTCCAGTAATTAA